AGTCGGTGCAGAGCTGGGAAGTAGGATGGAGATCAACCATGGCGACCCTGGGGCCGTGCTGCTGAGTTCGGATTGCATTCTGAAATCAGTGGAAGCCATTTAACATTTTGTGAGGAAAGGAACATAAAAAATACAGTTGTTAGCTTGAACTGTTCATAGAAATATGTGAATAACTATGGCAGCCCCATATATAATTTTAAGTTTTTCTAGCAGCCACATTTTAAGTCAAAATATATAAAATTTCAATACTATTTAATCCAGTATATACAAAATATTCCAATATACAACAAGTTTGAGTGATTGATCACTGGCTGGCTGGGTGGCTGATTGGTTGCTTAGATGGTTGATAGGTTGGTTGGTTGCTGGTTGGTTGGCTGGCTGGCTGGCTGGCTGGTTGACTGGTTGTTTTTGAGAGTCTTGCTGTGTAGCCCAGGTGGCCTCTAACTCCAGTTCCTCTGTTCTCGATCTTCTGAATGTTGAAATCACAGGTATATCCCACCAGCATCTGGCCAATATAGTATTGTAGTAGTATTTTACATTTCACATTTAAATATGTCTTCAAAACCCAGTGTGTATTTTATATCTGCAGCACATCTCTATTGGACAAGATACATTGGAAGGGTTTAGTCACATGCCTCTCTGTCAAGTATAGGGACAGTCAGGTATCAAGGATGACAAAGTATGTATATTCACTCCATGAAAACTCAAGTCCTCAGGTCATCCAGAGATTCCACTCTCCTTTCCCTCTGTTGTTGGGTCTACTGTTAGCAACTGTGGGTTCCTCGAGTTGTATATGTCTGTAGTTCAGTGTTCCTTAGAATTAAATAGGCCAATGTGCACTGTGGCCCGAGAAGAGCAATACACAGCCTTCAGTGTGGCCAGATCCCTGTGACCTTACAGGACAGGAATGCCATATCCTATTTTGGCATTTGCTGGTTTGGGAGAAGCAGAGAGCTTGGCAGCAGGCAGAGGGAGACATTCAGAAGGAGGCACCAGGAAGAGGAACATTACAAAGGCTGGGAAGGGGCAGCACTTCTGAGGTAACAGTGCAGGGGCAGGTGGAGGAGGCTGGGAGCTGGGAGAGGGCACTGAACCCAGCAATATTGGGGCCCTTCTCACCTTCCTGAGAGCGGGGTACCCAGCTAGGGAAATGAAAGGGACCTTCTCGTGACTGTGTTAGTAACATGAAAAAGAGGGATGCTGAAGACAGAATGGGGCTGAAGGAAGTGTGCTGGTGTGTTGTCTTAACTAATGAGTAGCGGGGACATCTGACCCTGCTTGTGGACTAAAATGAAGCAGTGAAAACTGAATATAGTGGGGGCCTGGGCAGGGTGGGGGACATTGGAAGGGAAGGCCAGTTAAGGGTGCTGGCTATAGAGAGAGCTAGGACCCCTAGTACCTTAGCAGGAATGAAATAGGAATGAGGGAGTAGGCAGATAAAGGGCAGAAGGTTTAGGGGGCCTTGTGCCTTTATTTTGCCCCTGATCCCATAGGTAAGAACATCTGAAGTGAGGGGTTGGAAACTGAACCAAGGACAGAAGTATAAGGGCCATTGGAATGAAATGCAAGGGGTCAGCATGGCATAGTGATGAGTCGTCCCCACGCTCATCCCAATGAGGCATAAGTCATGTGTATCCCACTTGAGCTACTTGAGGCTCTTCTATGGGTCTAAGCTGTTTTAGGTAGACCAGTGTTGGTGCATTTGAAGGAAGTCGCTGAGAATGTGATATGAGCAAAGTGACACATGATGCAGTGGTACATAAAATGTGTCTGGGCGCAGGGCTGAGGATGTGGCTCAGTGGGCGAGCATTTGTGTGTGTACAGCAGTCTGCATTTGAGCCTCAGCACCACAAACTCATGCAGGCTCATTTAACGGTTATGTCTTCATTGCAGTGACTTACAGAAAAACCACATGTACATTCATCTTTAAATATGAGTAAATCCAGCCAAGTGCTAAGGGGGCTGGTGAGGTGGCTCAGAGGGTCAAGGTGCCTGCCACCTGAGCCCACTCCCCAGTGGAAGGAAGACCAACTCTGAAAGTTGTCCTCTGACCTCCACTCTCATGCTGATGCACATGCATACACTTACAATAAGAAAATTTACAATGTAACTTAAAATTTTGAAATAAAAAGTACTAAACAATCATAGATATGGAAAGCAGATATTTCTAAAATCCAAACAAAGATCATGAATGGTTGAGGTTATCAAACTCTGGGTAAAGGGCTGGCGATGGCTCAGTGGTTAAGAACACTCAGGTGGTGGCTCACAGCCTTCTGTGATCGAGCTCCAGGGCACCTGATGGCCTCTTCTGGCTTTGTGACTTCCAGGCACTCACCTGGTGCACAGTCACACATGCAGGCAAAATACCACATGCATAAAGTTAAATCTGTTTCTTTAAGTAAGAGGTACAGTTGCCTCAGCAAAGGTTCTGATTACTTCCAGCAGTCATCTGGACATGACCAGTGTCGCTGATGATGTTATGAGCAGTCTGTTCACAAGCTATCTGCCACACATCTGTCCTCCATGCCACGTACACAGCCCAGTCAAACCTGCATCCAGTTGGTCTTCCCGATTCACTGTGTACCTGCTGCTCTGCAGTTCTCCCTGGCAGACAGGATAGAATTCAGTGCTCCAAAGTTGGCAGTTTGAGTATGGCAGTAGTGCTCTGATTGCTGGTTGGCTAGCACCCCTTGTCATCTGCCTAAATTCAGTATTCTTAATTTATAAGCCTGTTATCCATGCCTGCAGAATTAGAAAAAAAAATCATTAAAACTGTACGTTAGCCCAAATCTGTACAACACAAACACACACACACACACACACACACACACACACACACACGTAGTAGTTTTTGTTTGTTTTTCAAGACAGGGATTCTCTATGTAGCTTTGGAATCTGTCCTGGAACTAGCTCTGTAGACCAGGCTGGCCTCGAACTCACAGAGATCTGCCTGCCTCTGTCTCCCAAGTGCTGAGATTAAAGACGTGTGTTGCTACTTCTAGCCTACAAATATATATTTTTAAATTCTAGCTCAGTGGTAGTTTGCCTAACATATACAAGATCCTAAGTTCAGCCTCTAGGTCTGAAGTGGAAAAAGGGTTAGAAAAGGTTAAAGCATCTGGGCTATCCCAGAGCTCCCTGATAGTGTTTGCCTAGTGTCTCCCCCAGCAAGCACTCCCTCTGGTATCTTGCTCTTTTCCTATTGCTTTGGGGCTGCCCTGCGAGGGAACTCTACATCCTCTACTGTCTTCTTCCCCAAGCCTGTGCTAGGGACAGCTCCCTACTGCTTCAGGTGAAGTGACATCCATACCTCATTTCTAGCTCAGCTTTTGTTTAAAAGAGAAAAAAACAAAACAAAACACATTTGTGTCTGTCTGTGAGTGTACGTGTCTCTGTCTCTCTCTGTCTCTCTCTCTCTCCTTATGTGTGTATGTAGGACAACTTGTGGGAGTCAGTTTTCTCCTTCTGTCTATGAGTCCAAGAGATCAAACTTGGGTCATGGAGGTCATCAGTGAGTGCCTTCACCTGCTGAGACATCTCACTGACTCACTGATTTTCAAAAATTTACTATTTTGCTGAATTACAGAGAATTATTTTCCATTATGACTTGAGATCCTCTGCCTGTCACCCTATGTGGTAGCTTCCTGGATACCATTCAGAGGGAAATTTCCTAGACCAATTACATTTAGTAGATTTACTTGAGTAAATAAACGCAAACCAAAAACAATTCCTGAGTAGTAGTTACCAGAACAACTGAGAATTTAACGGTCAGTGTTATCCAATAGCACTTATCAAAAACCAGAATGAGGGCTACAGAAAACAGCTACAGCTGCCATGTGGTTACAGCTTAATTGGTGATTGGGCTGATAAAATGGCTCAGTTGTTAAGACTGTGTATTCTTACAGACAGCCTGCATTCAAATCCCAGCATCCATATTAGGCAGCTCCCCACTACCTGTGACTCAAGTTCCAGGGAACCTTACACCTCTCTGACCTCACTGTGTACATACACAGAAATAATAAAATATTAAAATAATAATAATCGTAAGTTAATTGACCACAGGGCCTCCTGTAACCAGTCAGAACCCAGTTAGTGTAATTAAGCTCTACACTGATTTGATCTATTGGCTGCCCCCATCCAATCACACAGCCTCCTACACATTTGGCTTTGCAATACCTGTCTGCTTCCACTTTTAGCATGAGGAGGGGATTCCTGGGGTAGTTCCCCACGTCACGGTGCACAGGCAGACCCTGGCAGTGATGTCAGGCTCCGTTGTGCCTGTAAACAGATGCAGAGTGAATGCAGTACAGCTCATCCTGCTGTGACCTGCTCGTGACTCCTCTGAGTGGCTGTGTCTGCATCCTGTGGTGTGTCCCTCTCCACCGCTTTCTTTCAGTGGTTTGTTGAGATTTTCTAACCTTAGAACTTTCCTTTCAAAATTCTAGAGACACATTTCTCAGGCCTTTTGTTGTTGTTTTCTTAACAGTAATTCAAAATGAGTTATGGTATTTTCTATAAGTTTATAACTAAATAAATGTATTGCCAAAGCTTTCACAGTATTGAACAGTGCTGCGTGCATGGTAGACCGTATTTCTTTTGTAAATGTCAGGCCTAAGTTGATGATGACCCGGTGATAGCTCTTGATCTTTAGTTTGGAAAACAACGATATCAAGTACCAATTTATTTAGTCAATTCAATAATTTCCGAAAGCTGTGAGATGGTGATGTTCTGGTCTCTTTGAGGCCATTCCTAGAATCCTTATTCTCTCCTTGGTGCTCAGAAATAAGGAGCTCTCTGTAACTTCACAGATGCAGTAAATTCACCTCGAGGAACACTGACTGGGGCCTCACATCAGCTCTCTCTCTGCAAATGTATGACATTCTGTTACAAATGTTCTTTCGAAGCAGTATTTGTGAAGCCAGCACATCCGCTGAGAAATGTCCATGTTCCGTGAGGGACTGAAGGAGTGTGTGTTGTTAAGCTCTGCCCTGTCTCTGCAGGGTGTGCCGATCTCCAAGCCCTGGACACGATGCAGCCCATGGAGAGGAAGAGACAAGGCTACATCCACGAGCTCATTCAGACAGAGGAGCGCTACATGGACGATCTGCAGCTGGTCATCGAGGTGAGGCCTGTTGCTTACTGTCTCCTAGAGCAGGCGGAGGGTGGTGTCTCTGCCACTCTCACTTGAAAGCATTGTGAGCCATCTCATTTTTTTGACACTGGGGATGCAGCCCGGGGCCTCTCACATGCCACGCACGGATTTTACCACCGAACTGTGTCCCCTGGCTGGGCACCACTTCCATGTGAGGGCTCATAGACAGTGACAGAAGCTGCCTCTGCTCACTGGTAAGGCGGAAAGCTAAAGGTCCCTGATGAAAGAACCCGCTCTTCCTAGGCTAAGCCCACTCAGTGGGGGCAGGAGGGCAGGGGGACCTAGGAATGTCCTAGTTGAACATGCAAAGGACAGGGCGTAGAGAGAGCGTGAAGGCCTCTGTATGGACTTGCCTCCAGTTCTTGCCTAATTTTGTTTACGATGCTGTTTGGAAACCTGGCATTGTCATGGGCTTCAATACCTCTACTTAATGTGTATGTCAGCTTAGGAAACCAAACAGGCGCAGTTGCAAAATGGTTTCCCAAGTCATGTGTTTACTGTCTGCACCTGTCCATGTTGCCAGTGGCACCTAAGCTGAGGACAGTGTCTTCCTGAGAGGAACACTTTACAATGGCTTGTGAAAACGCGAAAGGAGACTTTATACTTCTATTTCTGTTTCCATGGCTTTTGGTTGCCAGGAAATGTACCAAGGTCATCAGATGAAAAGAGCCATTCAGTCAACCACCTAGAGAATACAAGCCCCCCATCCTCCCCCCCAGGCAGATGGGTGCGTCCCCTGCCATAACCCGAATAGCAGAGTGGAGCCCTCAGTCAACTGCAGCACCTGTCCTCCTGCCGCCCTCACTTCTCCACGGGAATGCCCGCTCCCCTCACACCTGTACACTCCCTGTATTCTCTTTCTTGTTTGTTCTTGAGACGGGCTCTCATGTAGTCCAAACTGGGCTTGAACTTGCTATGGAACCAAAGATGACCTTGAAATCTTATCCTCCTGCCTCTGTCTTCAAGCATTGGGGTTACAAGCATCTGCCAACATACCCAATGTATGTGTGCTGGGGACTGAGCCCCAGACATCATGCCTGCTAGGCAGGCATCCTCCCAACTGAGTTAAACCCCTCACTCTCGCTGTCTGTTCTTCATCCTTCATCCCCCAGACTTAGCCTGGCCCTGGTCAGCCTTCAAATAAGCATCGAATGCATGAGATTCATTTATCTGTACTTCCCTATACCTGGACAGATGGCCTAGGAGAAAAGCCCCTGTTCCCAACCAACCTCCCAAGAGTGTCAGCACACATCTGTAATCTATGGCAAGACAGGTGGCAGACAGGAGAATCGCCCAGAAGCTTGTGAGCCAGGTAGCCTGTAGGCACTGCACCACTCAGTGAGACCCTGCTGCCTCAAAGCCCGGAAAGTTGTCCTCCACACTGTGCCACACTGTGCCATTGTACCCCCCAATTCTGTCTCTCTCCGTTTCCATCTGTTCCCCCTCCTATGCACACATGTACACAATAAATAACCTTTTTAAAAGTCTAGCAGTCATAAATATGCTTACTGCGAGGTGCCACTGCCTTGCTGTCAGAGTTCAGAAAGGCACACAGTGCTGTGGACCAGCCTCAAACTAAACTGTATCCATGTTTTGAATTTAGGTTTTCCAGAAACGGATGGCAGAGTCGGGCTTCCTCACTGAAGCAGAAATGGCCTTGATCTTTGTCAACTGGAAGGAACTCATCATGTCCAATACAAAGCTGTTGAAGTAAGTGTGGGTGTCACCTGGCATTGTCACTGTAGCCCTTCAGGGACTGCTCAGTAAGGGGACTTTGAACTCTATTCTGCTCCCTTAGGCTTTGTATCCTCTAGTGTTTTAGGGAGTGCCCTGTGACTTAATTACATAACTGTTGAGAAAAAGTAAAGCACTCTAATGCAGAACTACTTTGATTGAACAAGAAAAGCTGTGTTGGTGTGTGGTCCCCAAACAGGTGCAACATGTAGCTCAGCAGGAGGGAGTGGCAGGCAGAAGAGTGACAGCCACAGCCAGACAAGGACAGCACAGTGCTCATGTGCAGTTCCTGTCCTGGGGGGGGGGGGCTTTCTGTCTGTTTTACGTACAAGAGCAGAGTTCTAGGCCAGCTGGAACCCCTCCATGGCTGCAGCCCACCATGAAGATACCAGCTCTTCAATTCCAACCCCTGGCCACCATGGCTCCCTGGTCACCAAGGTTCCCAAGCCACATTGCCATGTGTCCTCAAATGAGGAAAAACAAATTGATTTGTGAAGAAACTGGGGTGAATTGAAGACTCTTCTAAAGGCCTAGAAAGCATCTAAATGTGTAGACTTCAGTACCCTTTTCTTCTTTGCTAGTGCTCCCTCAGACTAGCTCAGCCAGCAGAGCTTTGGGCCCTGCGAGCCATTCCTTCCCAGTGTCCAAGGATGCTAGGTCCTGACTGGGTGCCATCACTATTGGTGTCTGTGGCATTTGCCCTTTAGCTGCCAAGGAAGGAGATTTTTGGAGAATGGAGTGACCATCAGTTACTTTCAGGGCCTTGCGGGTGAGGAAGAAGACTGGAGGTGAGAAGATGCCTGTTCAGATGATCGGGGACATCCTGGCAGCAGAGCTGTCTCACATGCAAGCCTACATCCGGTTCTGCAGCTGTCAGCTCAATGGAGCAACTCTGCTACAGCAGAAGACAGATGAGGACACTGACTTCAAGGAATTTCTAAAGGTATGCCCAGCCTGGGACTCCCGGAGGCAGTGACAGTGTTCCTCCCACTGTAGTCTCTGCAGTTGAGAGGTGTGTCCCCATCAGTCTCCAAAGCCAGCGGCTTCTGATTGCATAGTGTTGTTCTAGGTAGAGCCTATTTTTCTTGGCACTAGATCCATAATTTCATATCCTAGCTGTGTAACTACAATAGTAGTGTTTTTGTTTTATTTTTAACAACCTTATGTATCAGGTGTTTTGTTTTTCCAAAGAAACATCCATAATGCTACTTCTTTTTTAATTACTTGTGTATATGGGTGTTGGCCCACATTTATATCTGTGGGCCATGTGCATGCCTGGCACCTTCAAAGGTCAGAAGGGGGCATTGGATTCCCTGGAACTAGAGTTACAGGTGGTTGTGAGCTGCCATATGGGTGCTGGCAGGTCCCCAGCAAGAGCAACCAATGCTCTTAACCACTGAGCCTTCTCTCCAGCCCCACTATACTGTCATGTTAGGAGTAAGGTTTTTCCTGCCGGCCTGGACCCACTGAGGTGTCAGCCCCAATTAACACACAGAGACTCTGTATTTGATATAATTCTGTTGGCCAGTTACTAGTTTCTTATCAGCTAGCTCTATCTTAATTATTAACCCATTTCTACTAATCTGAGTATTTCCACGTGGTCTCATCTTACTGGAGAGTGGGCCCGGACCTCTGTTCTCTCTAGTCTCTACATGCTGACTCCTCTCTACTACTTCCTCTTTCCTTCTTGTCTCCTAGTTCCTCCTATCTTCCTTTCCTATTGGCCAACGCTTCTCAATTTTATAAATTATATTTATTTAATAATCATCTTATTCCAGAAAGAAAATAAAAGAGCTTACTTAAATGAATAAAATACAGCAAAATGAAATTTTATTTTTAGTTGTGAGCCTAGCCTTTAACAACTGAGCCATTTCTGCAGCCCACAAAATAAAATTTTAAATAATAAGGCGAGTACCTTGTGACTGAAGGCAATGAAAGTAGGAGGAAATGAGTTATCAGGGAGACGGATAATTCCTCCAGGGGTAACTGTGCTGTACCAGCAGTGTGCACAGATGTCTGTAAAGCTCCCGGGAACCAGTGAGTGGAGGAGGAAAGGATTGGTTCCATGCTGTGGTTGTAAAGTGAACATGAAGAGAAAAGCTGCAAGTGTGATAACAACTGAAATTCTTAGGTTTTCAAGTTCCACAGCTGACTTCATACGACTGGTTACTACACTGCAATGCCATGTTTTGAAGCTAGGAATGCTAGTATATGCCTATAATTCCTGCACTTGAGAGGCTGAGGCACAAAAAACGTAAACTCAAGGCCAGCCTGGGTTATATATAAAGGATCTGTTTTAAAATTAATGATCAGGCTGCAGAGGGGGCTTTGCAGTTAGGAACACTGGATGCTCTTCCAGGGGACCCAAGTTCAGCTCCAGCACCCACATGGTGGCTCACAACTGCTTGCAGCACCATAGGACCTGACACCTCTCTGGCCTCTACAGTGACCCACATATATGTGGCTTAAAAACAGACATACACATTACAAATAAATACATAAATAAGTAAATGCTTCATTTTTTGTTTGGTTTGGTTTCTTATTATTCTCTATGTAGACCAGGCTATCCTGACACTCATTCTATAGACCAGGATGGCCTCGAACTCAGAGATCTGCCTGCCTCTGCTAAGTGCTGGGGTGTGTACCACCACCACCCAGCTACCATTTTTTAAAATGTAAAGCAACATCTAGGGCTAGAGCTATAACTCATCAGGAGGTTGATTTCCTGACATGCACAAGGCCCTGGGTTGCATTCCTAGTACTTCAAAGAAAAATGAAATCAAAGTACATTTTACCAGTACATTGTATCTCAAAGTATTACTTTTAAATTTTTGTCTTTTTCTTTCTTAATGCTGGCTCAAACCAGGGTCTTGAATTCTTCCCGAGCTACAACCATTATAGCAAAATAGATAGGTACGGATCTACCTAAAAATAAAAAGGACAGTCTTCTTGTCCATAACTGCAGTAAACCACTCCTCAGCCATTAAAGGTGCTCACCCTGGAATGTTAGCCTGGAACACCCAGGTGTTCACCCTAGAGTGCTAATGACCCAGATAGGCGCTCACTCTGGAGTACAGGTGACCCCTTCAGGTGCTCATCCCAGAGTGCTGGTGACCATCTTCAGCTGATGGAGATACCTAAAGCAAAGCATGGTGTGTGTGTGTGTGTGTGTGTGTGTGTGTGTGTGTCGTGTGTCCTGGTGCGCAGAGGCACTAGTTACCCAGAGGAGAGTCACAGAGAGGAAGGTATCCCAGGGGAAAGTGGCCACAGAGAAGCATGACTGGGTCTTGAGAAGTGAATGTGAATCAGGAACATGAAAAAAAAAACAGCAGTAGAGATGGTGCTGGCAACGGTTCGTACAGTCATTGCCTGGCACACAGTAGGTCCTCAACAAGCCGATGTAGTTGTTTCTGATGAAGCAGGCATGGTAGACATGCTGACATGGGGAAATAAGAGCTGTCCTTCAGACAGATGGGTGTGTGTGTGACTCAGAGATGGGGGTAGGAAAGACGGCTCTTGTGAGGGAAGTTGAGGTGCCTTTGGGACATCTGATGAGAAGTGTGATGTCACGATGATAGAACTCCAGAGAATGACTGCTTACAGATCCTGGGCCTCGGCCTGGGGCAGTAGCCATACTGAGAGAAGAAGGAGAAGATGGAGACGGACCCCAGTGGACTCAGGGAGAAGCGGCCAGGTGGGAGCAGTTCTAGCAGCAAAAGAATGAGCTGCACTGCACAAGAAAGTTAAGAAGCAGGGTGGGGCTGGACTCATGAGCTGACAGATTCCTGTTGCTAAAGTGACATGTGCCATTTCAGATCCTGTCATTGAAACAAGCCTGAAATCTAGACAGTGGCCTGGCAGAAGTTTTGCCCAGTGTTTCCGTTGTTTCATCTGGAGTCTCTCTGTTTTGCAGAAGCTGGCATCAGACCCACGGTGTAAAGGAATGCCGCTGTCCAGCTTCCTGCTGAAGCCCATGCAGAGGATCACTCGCTACCCCCTGCTCATCAGAAGTGTGAGTCCTGGGGTGGGCTGACTCAGGAGCAGGGCCCACCTGACTGGACAGAGGCCAGACACCCAGGGAGTGGTGATCCCTCTGCCCCTTGCCTCAGACACCTATGTGTGAAGTCTAAAGGCAGATGTCCTAAAGTGGGCAGATAGAAGCAGGATCTAATGTCATCCACCTCCCCCAGAACTGTCCCAGCATCCCATGGTTACAGCATGCTGGTAAAGACCCTCTTCTGGCTGTGCAGCCATCCTCAACCCAGAGAGAACATGGAGTCACCATTAGCAGGACCATGCTGCCAGCCTTTCTTCTTCAGGCAGAATGTTTTTAAGGAGAGTACAGGTTTTATAAAGCAACATAGTGAAATTTTCTGCCAGCTTGGACTTCAGAGACATTAACTCAAAAAACCAGCCACCCAAACAAAAAACGCATGGCTTAAAGTTATCAGGGAGACCCGAGAAGACAGCTGTTAGCCTGTGGCCTATTATCAAGACTCAGATTCATACTGTTCCTGTGCCCGCCTCCCCCACACCATCTATGTAGTTACCAGACCCTGATCCCACAAGGACTGTGGGGCTCTGCTTCCCAGGGCAGATGCCATTACCTCTCCTCTCGTGGGGGTTGGGAGTTCATAAAGCAACAAGGCAGGGTGAACAGGAGTCAGTAGACCCCTTGGGGGCAGGCTGATAGTGTGACCTACATGACACTGCCCACTGCCCCCCAGATCCTGGAGAACACGCCACAGACTCACGTTGACCACTCCTCCCTGAAACTGGCCCTTGAACGAGCCGAGGAGCTGTGCTCCCAGGTGAACGAGGGAGTTCGAGAGAAGGAAAATTCAGACCGGCTGGAGTGGGTCCAGGCACATGTGCAGTGCGAAGGCTTGGCAGAGGTGAGGCTGAGGCTGTGAGCTGAGCTGAATGCACCCGGCAGGTTCTAGGTAGGGAACTGCACCACACCTCCCATGCACTGACCACGGGGGCTCACTGTCCTGCCCTTCAGGACACCCCTTGAATTGCTTTCCTGCCTGAGAAGAGCAGCGAAGTGAGGTCTCTGTTGAGAGTTCTCTGACTTTACTGGTAGGAAGTGGTAGAATCTACTATTGATTTTTCACAGGACAGGAGGGGATTGTAAAAAGTGATAAATAGGAAGATTTTGTTTGTATTTTTTTCTAGAAAGGTGAATAATTCTAACTACATTGACACCTAGAAAATCTTACCACATACCCTTGGGTGCTGGACACTGGCCTTTCCTGGGCAGTGGAGTTATTTGTTCTCAGAATTACAAAGTGCCATTTTCTTCTCTTTAAGCAACTTATCTTCAACTCCCTCACCAACTGCCTGGGTCCCCGGAAGCTTTTGCACAGTGGGAAGTTATATAAGACCAAGAGCAATAAGGAACTGCATGGGTTTCTCTTCAACGACTTCCTGCTGCTCACCTACATGGTCAGGCAGTTTGCAGCTTCCTCGGCCTCTGAGAAACTCTTCAGCTCCAAGTCCAGTGCTCAGTTCAAAATGTATAAAACGGTGAGCCCCAACACCTGCCACACATGGAGCCTAAAGAGGCTCCATCCTGACCTAAGCGCACACACACAGACCTTCCACCTGGTCCTGCCCTGTCATGGACTCATCCTGCTTCAGGTGGCTTTCAGTGTCCTTTGCCACTTCCCAGGGGAAGGAACACTGTGTGCCAGACCTCACCTGTCTGCTGCTGTGACAGCAGGAGCCTCCTCCTGGCAAACAGGACACCTCTGTGCCACAGGCAGCATTCATGTCTGTAACTCAAGACATCAAACCAGGTGACAGTGTACAGAGCCTGTCACGTCAGCAGCACAGGCACTCAGAGCTCCTAGCCTGAGGGACAACATCCTTGGCTTTCTTCCTGGGTAAAAGACCCTGGGTGCGAGCCCTGTAGACACAGTGGGTGGAGCGCTGGGGCCATCTCATTTTTCTCACGTATTCTGGCCCTAATTCTTTCAGCCCATTTTCCTTAACGAAGTGTTGGTGAAACTGCCCACAGACCCTTCCAGCGATGAGCCTGTCTTCCACATTTCCCACATTGATCGGGTATACACCCTCCGAACAGACAACATTAATGAGAGGTCAGTCCCAATCACGTGTGACCTGTCCTGAACTCTAGGAGGAAGCACAGACACATCCCTGTGCCGTAAGCCCATGTCCACTCATGATGAATTCCAATCAACGCTTAACCTAGCCTAGCCTCTCGCGTGTCCCTGCACTCCAGCCCCACAGTAGGCCCTGGCTTAGTCACTAGTAACACAGCTGCCTACCAGTGGTTACCTGCTTCCTGACTCCTCACCAGCTCCCAAATGGTAGATCCGAGCCTCAGTCCCCACTAAAATCTCCCGGGGGGGGGGGACTGCAGACTTGCACTTGCCGCATGGCTGCCCTCGCTGCCACATGCTCACCAGCCATGCTTCTCTCCAGTGTAGCTCCCAGGGTAAGTGCCTCTGATGACAATCCCAGGGGTGCACAGTCTTGTCCTCTAGCTCAGGACTCCCTCACAGAGCTATCTTTAGTGAGTCTCTGCTCTTTAATTAGCAGTCCAGTCTATCACTTGGACTAAGATTAGGTGTATGACCAGAGAGCTGCTAAACACGCTTAAAGCCAAGGTTAGCAACAGCGTGGAGCTGGAGGCTGGACATGAGTCCAGGAGGTGCCTAGCTGTTCTCATAGCCACCACTCTGCTTTTCCTCCAGGACAGCCTGGGTCCAGAAGATCAAGGCTGCCTCAGAGCAGTACATTGACACTGAGAAGAAGAAACGGGAAAAGGCTTATCAAGGTACCTGCTGTGCTCTGGTGGGTGGAAACAGCTACCAAGGTGTGCGGGAGACTGAGTCTAGCTCATGAGGCACCAGCTGCTGTTGTACATTGAGACCTGGAAATGGATTCAGATGACAGCAGAAGAGCCCTGGTACCCCTCCCACTGCAGGGGTTCCAAACTGCCCTGAGCTCCGCCACGTGCTATGGGACCCAATGCAAGGCCTGCCTTCTCTCTGCAGCCTGTACCCATTTCCTCCCCTGCACTTGATGGCCAACCTCACCCTGGTGGGGCCTGTCTTGTCCCACTTGAGTCCATTTGCAGGGTATGTCACTCTGCTCCTGTCCTCTCAGCCCCAGCCCCCTCCATCCTGGCCTCCCGCACCTGAGCCCTCCACTCTTTGGCACACATCTTTCCCCCATTGCTGTGTAGATGGCACTTCCAAGGACACCAGTAACTTCACTATCCCTTGCCCGGGCTTCCTGTACTTAACGCCCTCCCCACCTCCTCATATCCTGCGTGTCCTCTGCACAGCTACATCTGACTTCTTAGCTCTCTTCCCTCCCCCTTTTCCTGGGAATCTACCCTTCTCCTAGCATGACACCCCACAGACAACCCTCCCATGGGTTCAGCCCTCCTGCCAACTCAGCAGTGGTTTGTGAGTACTCCCCACAATCCCAGCATTCCAGATAAGCCCTCTCCAGCAACTCCACTGCCCCTGCCCTAGGCCTGTCTTTTGCATAGACTCCATCAGCCTCCTCTCTTGACAGAGCTGCTCTCCCTTTCTATGTGCCAGCCCCTGCCTCAGCATCTTCTTTCCTGTGTGCCAGCCCCCTGCCTCAGCATCTTCCCTTTGACAGTTTCTCACCCCAAACTCCCCATCACCTGTCCCCATTTCCCACTGTCTCTCCCATTGCCACGTCACAGCCTGCTGCCAGGCCTTCCCCATAGGGTCCTTCCCATTCTTTAAGGCCCAAGTGAAACTCTAGCTCCTCCATGGTACCTCTTAGCAGCCCTGCTGGGCTAAGTCTACACTGTTCTTCAGATTTTGCTTCTCTGAAGTCACCACTGACTCCTAAGGGGGAGAGGATCTGTTTGCCACAGTATCCTCTGTTCATAGGACAGTTTGGCCACCAGCTCAGTGTCCTAAAGAACCTTTGGAAAGCATCCTTGGCAAACCTCCATGGGAATGTCAGGCCCTGTCTCCCCTTAGCCTCTACCCAGTGGAGGCCTGCCTCCCCTCTCCTGCCCTCCTTCCTTCCAGTGCGCCCACTCAGGCCCCTGCTGCTGAAGCCAAAGCTCTTTATGTATTTTTTATTCAGGTTCCCCCTATTTTGTTCTGTGCTCTTGAAGGTATGTGTAAATTGCCTTTCCCAAAATGAATGCTATTTTAAAATCTTGCTATTGAAAAATCAATGATTGAATCATTTCATAAAATACATAATGGTCTCTTAATTTGTTAAAAGTGCAAATCAAGGGTTTTCCTGAGTTTCTTGTTGTCTATTAGATTGTTCTGCATTCTCTGTGGGTATAATCCTTTGGATATGGTTATTTGCTGTGTGCCAGGCCCTGTAGTGTGCACAATGGGGCCTGTAGAGACCATCAGGCCAGGCTCTGCCATCGGGAACAAGGGCGTGCTTGATGATAGAGACATGGGGACATCAGGAAGCAGGCCATTGCTTACAGACAAGGCTACATAGCACTGAAGCTGGAGCAAGATACCCTCAAGGCTGAGGCCAGGCAGCCTGGAATACCTAGCAATAACTTGTCAAAACGACAAACCTGAAGGGGAAAAGGTGGGAAGGGCGCCAATGCCCAGAGACACCGAGCATCCTTTCTGCTTTCAAATCTTTGGTCTGCTTGGCTGAACCTCACATCTGCCAGCAGTGTGATCACATGACTCACTTCTATCACATTAGAATAGCTTCAGAACCTCTCTAAGTAGATCAAATCTGAAACAAAGCTGCTCACCAAGACAAAGTTCTTACATGTAATTGAAGTTTTGATGAGTGGTTCACACTTTGTTGTCTGATGTTTACCTTTTAACCTTGCCATTTAAAAACTCTGAGCCAGGTGTGATGGCACATACATGTAGTCCCACCACTCTGGAGGCAGAGGCAGGCAGATCTCTCTAAGTCCAACAAGGTCCAGGCCAGTCAGGGCTCCTCAGTGAGTCTCTGTCTCAGAATAAACAACAGGGAGGAAACTGTTGAGTTGAACAGTCAGGTTGCTGAAACAGAAGGATTCTAAGTTCAAGGCCAGCAGCTTGGGCTAGAATTAAACCCTGTCTTTTAAAAACCTATAAATTGAGCATATGGTCCTTCCTCAGTTTTCCTTATCCATAAAATAGGAGCTACCTTGTAAGGCAATTATGGAATTAAATGTAATCCATGTAAAGCTCTAGCACATGCCTAACACAAAGTAACCAGTAAATGTTATTTGCCAGAAATACTGAACAAACAGTATGCATTTTAAAATTAGTATTACTATTCATATGCATTTATGTGATTACTAAGCCTAGATAAGCAATCCATGTGGCAGAGGAGACTGGTGAGGTACAGAATTTCAGGCCCAGCACACTGTGGGGTGCCCCTCAGTCAAGGCTGGTGGTACACAGAGGGGAGGAAGCTGAGGTGACCGGGGATGAGCAAAGATAGCCATAAAGGCATCCCTAGCAGATGACATAGCCTGGAGAAGCAAGCAAATGCTAAACTGCTAACGCTAGAGCAATGGCAGATAGCAATAGCATCAGCTGAGGGCTAATGGTCATGTTCATTAGAATGACACAGAGACAGGGCTGGAAGCTTTAGCCGCTGCAGAATGTGCCCTTAACATGGAGTTCCTTCTCCAGGATCAGAGAGAGTGTGTGAGAACACAGCACAGCCCTCCAGCATTGCTTCTTTACTGTGGTGCTATCTCCATTCTCAGAGGAGGAATTAACATGACTCACTTCCTCTTTTGTAGCCCGTTCTCAAAAGACCTCAGGCATTGGGCGTCTGATGGTACATGTCATCGAAGCTACAGAGTTAAAAGCCTGCAAGCCAAATGGTAAATGCTGCTTTATTCAACACATGTGGGAACACCCTGCTTCTTACTGGTACCTCTTTTAAATATGGAATGATGGATAATTTTTAAAAGGCAGTGTTTCTGGTGTTGAGGATAAGCTATTTATTGGGCCCATATCACTCACTGTTTCCCAATAAGAACCAGCACCCCCCATCTTGATTGCTACTGCATGAAAATACACAAAGCTTGCCACATGGGCACCTTCCAGGGCTTATGGGGAGCAGCCCTGCTGTTGGAACACACACTTGCTCCAAGGATTATGGCATCATTGGAAACATGGGGCCATATGACTACTAGACTCAAAGGTAAATGTGTCCCGCCAGGCAGTGGTGCTTCCTGACATGGTCTCTAGTGAAGCACTCTACAGACCCTGCCCTGGTCACCCTCTTTACTTACCACACTGTATGTGTCCTTGGCTTGTCTCTGAGCAGGGAAGAGCAATCCATACTGTGAAATCAGCATGGGCTCCCAAAGCTATACCACTAGGACCCTCCAAGACACACTGAATCCCAAATGGAACTTCAATTGCCAGTTCTTCATCAAGGACCTTTACCAGGATGTGCTGTGTCTCACTATGTTTGACAGGGACCAGTTCTCTCCAGATGGTAAGTATGACTTGGCAGGTGCCTAAGGTATCCCCACTTTTCTGGGATCTGGAGGCTGTTCCCAGGGTCCTAAACTATGCTATACCCCATGTCCGCTGCAGGAATGGCACAAGCCCCATACCAGCTCACTTTGGCAGGAGGTGGGTGTCTTGGGGAGGGCATGGCCTCTCCATACAGGCTCTACCTGCACGCATAAGGGAAACACTAGTGATTAGTGGATGGTAGAACACTGTCATCAGTAGACTTCCAAATACACAGCTGTTGTAGTACATCTGTCCAGGGTCAGTATCAAAGATCCATGAGCAAACAAGCTGCTCAGCCAGTTTGAAAGTTTTCTGAATCCTGTGCCAGACTTTCCTGCTTGATAATTTTTAAATCTTAGAAGGTACAAAGACAATTGATCCTCACACACTGTTTACTCCCCAGATTTCCTGGGTCGTACTGAAGTTCCAGTGGCAAAAATTCGAACAGAACAGGAAAGCAAAGGCCCTACGACCCGCCGACTGCTGCTGCATGAAGTCCCCACTGGAGAAGTCTGGGTCCGCTTTGATCTGCAACTTTTTGAACAAAAAACTCTCCTCTGAGGGCCTGGAGAAGCCAGCACCAGAGAAGCTGCCCACAAGGCTGGGTCTAAAGAAAGAAAGACTATCTTCTCTTGGGGCCGAGGAGCATCATATGGCTCATCCATCACAAAGCCACACGCTGGGTCTGTATGTTATCGCACACTAAATTGCTAGGAATCTATGCAAACATGATCTTTCCTATAAACAGACACCACAGCACAGTGCCTTGTACTAGTGTTAACATGGTCGGCTGTGTTAGATGCCAGGATTTCCATTATCAGGGCTATAAAAGTATTATGTGGAAATGAGGCATCAGACCACCAGATGTTACCACTTGGCGAATGTGTCCACTGTGGAGATGGTGATGTTGGAACCATTCCACACATGTGACCTCTGCTGGTCACAGCACTCAGGAGGTGAAGGGCTGGGAAGAGGTGCTGCAGCCTGGCCTGAGGACTTGTGCAGCCTGATACTGAGATAGCATCCACTTGTGCACTGAATAAACAGAAACTTGATTGTTTTATTCTGATTAGATTTTATCCTTCTCTGCTCAGACAATACAGTTTGAAATATAAGGAGGGAAGCTTGATGTACTTTAACTATACTGTGAACTCTAATAATGTGGGAATATTTTTCAACTTTAATTTTCTGAAGTATAAATTATTTATGTAAATTCCTTGTTTTGCATATTTCATAGAACATGCATCTTTGAGCTTTTTATCATTGCCAACATGTACAGAAAGAGAATAAAAGTATTAGTTTATGAATGTAACTCCTCTCAAAGCTTGACTCTGTGTGTGAAAGGCTTTTAACAATTACTTTCAGAAGTTGCTTATAATGAAGCCTGAAAGATGAATTGGGACAGGGCCAGATCTGCTTAACTCTACTGCTAGTTTGCCCGGAGCCTTTTGTGCAGAGCCTCTGTTAGGTCTTTGGGCTTGATCTCACTGATGACTATTGTGGGTGGGAGCTATGCTTGCCCTGACGGGGGTGACCTACAAGATGATGAGGACTATCTGCAGATCTGTTGCCCTGCAGCTCCAGTAGCCCCAACACTACCTGTCCCCTGTTCTGCTACAGCCACAGCCACAACCACGCTGCTTATTTGGCTCAGGGCTTGTCCACTCTCCCCAGTTTTGTTAAATAAACCAGGCTGAATTACAGTACAGTCCCATGTACTGAAATGTTGAAGACATCCCTTATTGACTCCAGATACTGAGCCCACACACCCACTAGTTAAAACAGAAAAGAGCTGTTACTTGGTGCATAAAACTGAAGTACCCAGCATCCCGCTTGTCTCCAGGAAGCTTCTAAGGACCAGGCACAGCCTGCTGAGCAAGCCCACTGCAAGCTGGCTCTCCTGGGCTTGGGGAGCATGTCTTGTTGGCGCTGAAGCAAGATGGAGGGGATGTCAGGAAGAGTTGTGGCTGACAGCCCATGTGTGGGGCATGACACTCCCTGGCAATCTGGCAAGTGTAAAGCTGAGGCTACCTGTAACTATAGCTACACAACAACCCTACTCTTCCCAGGACTATGGGGATTTTAAACCTCACTACAGTGAGTGTCCCTAGCTCTCAACAGTAATGAAACTATGGGTCAAATTTGGAACCCAGGTGCCCTCAGGATCTGAGTCATGTGACTTTGATGTCTAGAGATGTTACAGCCAGCAACTCCAGTTGCCTTCTGTACCTAGTGACCCAGAACTGCCCCTGAGGGAGTCAAGTTGTCTTCCCCACTGAATGTGAGCCCAAGTTTTTAGAGGATGACAGGAGAGTCCCCCACCCACCAGGAAGCAGGTAGCCCTTACACAAGTAGTAGTCCACCCTTGGTGAGGAGTCCCCCTTTGCATCCCCAGAGGCAGCCTGCAGTTTGACCCCCACTGCCATGCCTGGAGTGTGGGCAGGACTGAACTTGAATAAAGCCCTGATACCCTTGACTCAGGACTGGCCCCAAGCCAAGCACAGAGCCCCGCTGAGCACCAAGTTCAGAGGAGATGATAAAGGGGTCTTGCTGCCAAATGTTTCAGTGAAACGAAAACACCACACACACTTCCTAGTTCACAGCCAGAGCTTAGAAAACTAACTGCTGTAGTTCTCGAAACCACTTCTTACTTAGAGAGAAGCTGCTGTCGGTGTTTTAAGCATGTGTACAGTGTGAAGGCAGGTAGCTCTATGACCACTGGAGCCCTGACCTGGCTGCCCCCTGCAGGGAGGCCAGATGCTTCCCCAGGAGCTCTGCTGTCATCACCCTTCTTCCCACAGCAGCTGGCCTCTGTAATTGGCGGCTATCTGATGCTGCCCAGGAGCGTGGTCTCGGAGGTCGGGTCCCTAAAGCCTGTTCATAAAAGAAAAGGACAGATTAAGCAGGCTCCCACGAGAGGAAGGACCCCACATGCCTTGACCCACACCCAAGCCCTCTATCCTTTCAGACAGGCTCCCAGCCAATCTGCTTGCTGCCCTTCTCTGTTGGTTTCTGCAGTTCTCAGATGAGCCTTCCCATGCCTTCAACTCCACCTATCTTTTGCTATGGCAGAGGTGACTAGCTGTCCCCTGAGCACTGCCCTCCACTATGTTCAGACTCTCCAGGCTCCTTTCCTCAGCACCTTTGCACCCTACAGTTAGTCCTGAAGTGAACAATTTGCTGACCTGCCAACCCACCAACAGAAAATAGACTGTTGTGTTTAGAAACACTCTTTCAGCTTTTTTAACTCTTATGGTGACAGCAGGGTGCCTCCCCTACCACATCCACATTAGGACCTAAGACAAGTAGACAGTATCAAACTAAAAAGCTATGAGGCAAAGGAGAGAGGACTGAGTGAAGAAAGACATGGACAGACAGACAGGAGGATGTGTATAAGTAAGCTTCCATCCCAGCAGGCATGTCTAACCTAAGGCTTGAGGACCACAGTGACTGGGAATTGCAAGGAACAAAGCCCAATACAAAAACTATAAACTAACTTAAACATTTGCTGTTTCTATGTAACTGGATAGCACAGTTGTTGAGTGTGAGCTCTGTAGATGACAATGTCCTACCTTAATATCAAAAGTTTAGGTCTGCCTGGAGGGAGAATTTGCTTCTAAAGAGACTGAGTAGGAGTTAGGTCACAAAACATCTGATTGAGTGCTGAGACTTGAGTGCCCAGCCCTAAAAGGTCATCATTCTCAATAACCTTGCAACCACCATCAAGGTTCAGGAGACACTGAGGAAGAGGAGGTAGAAAGAATTTAAGAGTAGGACTTAGAAGCACAGCCCCGGGAGGCTGAGGCAGGAGGATCTCTATGAGTTCAAGGCCAGTCTGGTCTACAGAGTGAGTTCTAGGACAGTCAGAACTATATAGTGAGTCTCTCAAAATTTATATAAAGTGTTCCGTGTGTGTGTGTGTGTGTGTGTGTGTATGTGCACATGTGGGCATGCGTGCGTGCGTGCCTATGTGTGTGTGTGCCTGTGTGTGTGTGTGCCTGTGTGTGTGTGTGCCTGTGTGTGTGTATGTGTGCACCTGATTGATGTTTGGGAGGAGTGCTGTGAACTTAGCATGGCTTTTGCCCTCATGAGCTCACAGTAGCTGTGGTACTTATCAATCCAGCCAGAATTCTGGCATTGATGGGGTGTGGTCTCCAGACCCCAGGTCTTACTGAGGAGCTATTGGCAGTTTATCTCTGCTAAGGGAGAAAGAATCTTTTTCTTTGCTTTAATGTGTTGCCAGTGATAGGTTCCCCACACATTGTGGATGGGCCCACAACCATGCACATACAGGCAGCACGAATTGCTCTCAGTGGATTATCAAGATGGAGGATGAGATGGTGACGATGACAACACAAATTTTGGAAGTTTTGAGAGTCATTTGGAGGGAGTTGGGAGAAATAGGAATATATATGATGTTTCGTTGTACATGTGTGTGAAATTCTCAAGAATAAAGACAGTCCATAACAACTTCTGAGTTTTCAGACTGGAAAGACCTGTTTGGCTCTCAGCACATGGTGGGGTAAGGGGAGCACCCATGTGCTGTGTGCTGCAGTCACAAGGGCTCTAAGCTCTGTGAGTTGTAAATGGAGTTCTTAATTGGTCTAAGTAATGAAAACCCAGAATCACATATAGAAGAAAATGCTGAGAGATCAGAGAAAAGGAGCAAGCCACAGCCACACCTTACCTCCTTAGCAACGCAGTAGACAAGAGAATGAATTCCTGTTTCTCCCTGCTTATATCCTGTTTCTGCCAGCTATCTCACTTCCTGTCTGTCTATACAGACTTCCAGACCTTTATGGTTGGCTAGTGGCAAGCTCCATTCTCTAACCTTCAGACAGGCTTTATTTGTACAAGCAAGAGATCACCACAGTGACTTAAGCCTCAAGGGGGGGATAAAGGGGAGACAGAGGCCAGAAGCCCATAAATCCTTAGCCCTGTATGAAAAAAATATGTACTGGAAAAATTCCCTTTAAATATATAAAAGCTCATTTTACCCTCTATCTCTTTTTTTATGTTTCATTGTTTAAAATTTCTCATAACTGAATTAACAATTTTTGAGCTGGGCAGTGGTGGTGCATGTTTTTAATCCCAGCACTCAGGAAGCAGAAGCAGGCAGATCTCTGTGAGTTCGATCCAGCCTGGTCTACAGAGCTAATTCCAGGACAGGCTCCAAAGCAATACAGAGAAACACTGTCTCAAAAACAAACAAACAAACAAACAAACAAAAAAGAACATTTTTTGTTGGTGGTGGTGGTAATATTTTGAGACAGGTCTTGCTGTGTGGCCAGGCTGGCCTCAAATTCTTTTTAATTTTTAAAAATGTTATATGAGTATGAGTGTTTTGTCTGTATGTGTCTGTGTACATGGGGGGGCTGGAAGAGGGAAGCAGATCCCTTGGAACTGAAAGGTTGTTAGTCTCTGTGGGTGCTGGGAAGTAAACCTGGGTCCTCCGGAAGAGCAGTCAGGACTCTTAACAGCTGATCTATCTCTCCAGTTCCTGGTCTAGAATTTTTCCCTACTGCCCTTACAAGTGTGAGCCTCCATGCTGGACTTAAAAAAAAAAAATGTCTGATCCTATCCTGTTCAATCCGGTTTCAATGAATAGTAAAGGTAGAAAACTGTCAGAGGTATGAAAGTTCAAAGAGAAGTGACTGGTGAACCAGCAGGCTCTGGCCTTCTTGGCCCTCACCTTATAAAGACAGATCTGCACTTGTATTCAAGGACCCACATACACTGTGTTTCTGAGTCCCTTCCCTGCTCAGCGCCTGTCCACGTTCCCGCTCCCGTTAGACCTGAGCACCAGGCCACTAAGCATCTCCCTGCAGGAGTGAACGCTCCCAGCGCCTCTCCTTTTTCTTTTTCACTCCTTCTCTGCCGGCGAGAGCTCTTGCACCAGGGCTCGCTACACTGTGCAGTGGGTATTGCAAAAGTAGTCGACCCAGCCCCACTCCCAGACCGCAACTTACCGGACTCTTCTTCTCAGCATCCTTCTTCTCCTGGCTGAGTTTCCAGGAACGGAACTGCCTTTCAAAAGCAAGCTGGCTTAGGTTGGAGGCCTCTTCTTCCTGGGGCAGATGTGGCTTTGCCGTACAGACAAGCTTTTCAGAACTGAGAAGAAATGACAGATGAAAATCTCAACCCAGCCCGAACAATTCTACCATTCAAAAGTTACCAAATGAATTCGATATTCCTTTTGTGAAAAGGAAGGGCTGAATAGACATAGCCGCTGTCTGTCCACCTGCTCAGGTTAGGATAATGTTCCCTAAAGGTCAAGGGAAGGTTTGGGCCCAAGGGTGATGGTATTGGGAGCACCTCGGGCCTTTAAAGGATGAAGTTAGAGGTCTGGGGGGTGAAAGGGACTGTGGAACCCTGGTCTCTTCCTTCCTCTTTCTCCCCACTTCCTGAGCAGTTTACCTTACAGAAGTTCCTGCCGTGGTGTTGCCACCCTATCAGAAGCCCCAAGCAACTGAAGCTACTTGATTGCAAACATTACCCTTCCAAACTAGGAGCTAAATAAATAAACCTTTCCTAAGCCAAAAGCCTCAGATGAAGCTGGCTAACACAACTGTCAGGTGAGAGAGTCAGGGGACCTTTCTCCAGCTGTGGCTGAGACAGTCCCTCAGTTCTCTGATCTGGGATCGGAATGGAAGGGCCACCAGGCAGACATGTACTCAGGCCAGGAAGCCAGGGAGCTGCACATATACTTGTCAGAACATGCACAAAACTGAGAAAGCAGACATGAAGCAACTTCTCAAGGAGAAGAGATGCTGAGAACCACGAAGTCTCAGAGGAGAGGACTGCACTACAGTGGTCCCTCATCAGCCTGCCGCTCTTGCTGGTTATATAATATAAGGGGACTTTGCAATGTATCGAGCCCTCTCCCTTTTTCACTTGAGGAAAAACTCTGCTTTTTCCAATCATCTGCCCCTGGCTAATCTAGCATATTGCTCTCTTCCGTTCTTCCCTTCATTAAACAGGGCACCCTCTGGACATGTCCTCACGGAGAGTCACTGCCATTGCTGCCTATCCCTCACCCTCATGCCAGCTCTTGCAGCCAGCCATTGGGAGGTTATACTCGCCTGGGTTAGAATAGCAGGCAACAGGCAAACAATACATGACAGCCTGGCTGATTGGGGAACTGTACACAGCTAGTTTAACCCAGATGTTTTTGTGGCTAGTATGTGTTTCTTTGTCTTAAGGAAAAGGAATTTTTCTAGCCTTTTAGCCAGGCTGGTAGCAGCAGTCAGGCAGTAAGGAACCAGACTCCACTGAGAGGGTTACAGGAAACTACTGTTGTGTTTTCCATTGGAAAGTGATCACTCAAGCTGTTGGGTGATAAAGGCCAGACTAAAGGGAGGCTAGCGGAGCTGTGGCTGTACAGGCCATGGAGCTGAAAGGGAGGATGAAGAGTGGAGAGCAAGACAAGGCTTCTCACTCATTGAGAAGTTATGTACTTGTGTTTAAATAAAAAGGTCTAAGAAGTGAAAGAAACTCCCTCTGGGCAGTGGTGGCTCACGCCTTTGATCCCAGCACTCGGGAGGTAGAGGTGGGTGGATCTCTATAAGTTTGAGGCCATCTGGTTTACAAAACAAGTTCCAGTACAGTTAGGGCTGTTACACAAACAAACCCTGTCTTGAAAAGCCAAAAAAAAAAAAAAAAAAGTGAAAGAAACTGTAGAACAGGAGTGGAAAACACCACAAACAGACGGGAGAAATAAGTGAAGCAGCATTGATTTTTCCAGTGACTCAGGCAAAATCAGTCCTGACTGACTACTTTAAGAGGAACAAAATGAGAACCAAATTGGCTGGGTGATGGCGCACACCTTTAATCCCAGCTCTTGGGAGGCAGAGGCAGACAGATCTCTGAGTTCATGGCCAGCCTGGTCTCCTGGTCTACAAAGCAAGTTCCAGAACAGCCAAGACTACACAGGGAAACCCTGTCTCACAAAAGCAATTTGTATTATGTATATGTACGTGTGCTTGTATATTGTATATGCACCTATACATGTGTGTGTATATATTCTGAATCTACCACCCAGGTTCAGTAATGAACAGCTTCCACACCCTTCCCTCATATATGCTCCCTTTTTGTTCTCTTTTCTGGGAGAGTCCCTAGAGCTCATGCTAGCTGACTTCTCTGGTTACCCTGTACCTGTATGCGCCACTGGGTTTATTCAGCACAGACTGAGCAGAGGTTCTCTGCCTCTCTTTGGGAACAATGACATGGGAGGTGAGCATGAATGGAGGCGATCTGCTGAAGAGGGGAGCCTTCCCGGTTCCTTTAGGTTCTTTTTGTGTGTCATTCTGTTTCCCTAAAGGAAGACACACGAGCAAAATCAGACTCTGAAAATGATTCCTGCCCTTTTGGGGGTGGGGATGTTTGACACTTAGTCTATGATGACTTCTGGTTGCAAAGCACCTGTGCCATGCTGGTAACTGGTTCCCTTTGCTTCTCGGAGTTCTTGCTGTCTTCGAAACAGACACTCACACAATGGAGAGGCTTTCGTCTACAGGAGAAAACGAGAGTCTCTGAGGTCTCCATGCCATTGACTGCAAGCTGTTCAAAGCTGGCCTTAAGTACAGCAGTGAGGCCTTACTCTACCAAAGCCAAGGTCAAGACTCACAAATGATGTCAGCCCACAGTGCCATGGGGGAACTGCTGCCCATGGGGATGTCTCACAGACTGTAAATACTGATAGGAGGAAGAAGGGAGGCCTGCCCACATGGAAGACGCAGCTTCTATTTGTAGTTTGCTAAATCATTACATCAGTTAGTGATATTTGCTCAGTCATTCCATGCTACACCAAGGCCAAGTTCTGTCCTCATGGGTTTCTCAGACTAGAACACACAAATCACACAAGTGAGAGGCACCAGCTCAGGGCTTTAGGAGCATAGACAGAGTTCCTAACCAGTCCTGGGAGGAGAAGTTCTCCTTGGAACACTGCCCACTGCTCTTAAAATGGAGAGAGGAATGTGGCTAAGGAAGATAAGACTGTGTGATGGTGCAGGAGGTACTGAGGCTGGCCAGCAGTTAGGCAGAATGTCCTCCCCTAACCATAAGCCTTAGGGAAAAGGCCCTCTTTTGCTTTTCTCCACTTCTTCTGCCATCCTGAAAGATCACACTCTGATTCCAGCACACTGAAATTACATCTTGAGTTCCAGCTCTTAGTTTATTTAGGAATTAATATTTAATGCACATTTTCTGAAATACTGTTCATAAGCATACTTGATGATACCCAGTGTATCTAACATTCTATCTAAACTTTCCTATATCTCTAGCAAATAACTGGGGTAGAGAGACCCAAGAAACCAAACAGCAAAGATCCCAAAGGACACCAAAGCCAGCAGACTTCAATTTGGTACTGCAATGAAGGAGGATAAAAATCCCTGAAGAGGTTCCTGACCTGAGAGTGAAAGTGTCTTCAAAATAAGACACTGTAATGTTGCTATCCTATAAAGACTGCACAAAGAAAAGAGCTGTCTGTCCCTAAGTTTAACAGTTCCTGACTGTATTGCCATGCAGTCCCCTTCTCCCTTGCCCATTTCCTACCAGAGACTAGAATTCTCTTTCCTCAACATTTGACCCAGTCCTGGTAAGGAGAGCTGAAAGGTCGGCCTAGGGAATGCCGGAGATCAAAGGAGTGGGTACAGAGAGTCCCCAGCACTGACCCTCCCTCCTCTACCTGGAGCTGTGATCAGCAACAAGCAGACGTGACAATGACAGATTGACCGGACACATTAGGAGAGCAGAAGAAAACAACAGGAGAGAAAGGAAACCAATGACATCATAGTTAAGTAAAGAAATAATAAAACCCAGTACCGGTTTCTTTGGGTGCTTTAAGCAGTATTCATATTTCTCTTGGCTTTTTCCAGGTCTATATGAAATTACTTTCTCTATAATTCTCTGCTGTAGAGGCTGTGCCACATTTTCAACCCATTTTTTATGTAATATCTCTTTTCTTCTTTCCTTAAAAACAGCCTGGTGCTGAAAATATGTATCCATTCTCTGACAAAGTAATAGAAACAAGACAAATTTCAAGTTTTTCCACTTATTAGCATTTTCGTAGTGAGAAAACACTCATTCCTACTCTCTCCATTCATGCTACCCGGTCCTCACACCAAATAAGTGGAACACAGAATGAACTTCAGGGAGAGAACTTGAGAACACTGGGCAGGAGGTGCATAATAAACAATTCTAAATCATCCTGCACCTTCGGATTAAACTGTTACCCAACCCAATTAAGCCTTTCCTAACCCACCAAACTCTTATTTCTTTTTAAATGTTACCCAGTCATGCATGCTGCGTCTAGGCTTCACCATCACAAAGTATGTGCCTGAATTGGAAGAACACAGACACTAGGCTTGCTTTGATGCTGCTCTCTGACCTATGAAAGGAGGCTAACCCCATGGCTGCTTCTGATTCTCAAAAGAGAATTTATGGGTAAGGAATGTAGTTACTGCCTAGGCATTGATCTCTTACAGTGTACTCAATAAACATTTTGAGAGAGAGAGAACAAATGTCTATTTACTTTGTAAATTCAAATCACAATAAAAATGTCAACTTATTGTTATACTATCTTTCAGAGGGAAATTAACTCCTTTAAAGCTTGTTAACCCATAATGATTATTAGTAACTTAATTGGTCATTACCCTTTAAATACTAATAAATTTCTGGTGATTTTTATGTAACCCAATGTAGTATAGGAAAATAGAAAAAAACAGGCAAGTTTTGTTAGAAAAAGAAATTCCATTTACTACAAGTCAAGGAGAGGAGCAGTTAAAACAATCCCTGGGATTCCTTGGGACAGATTCAGACAAGCTGTGGGAAGCTTTAGTGATCCTTAGGGAGCCACACCATTTCAGAGTTATACAGCTTAAAGGTGAAAATGAGGAGCACCTCACTCTGCTTGCCAATGAGTCTCTCTGAGTGTTGTTTGTGTTTCCTGCTGATGGGCCACAGTGGTGGTGGAAACTTCAGAAGGCAGGGTGGGTAGAGCACACCTTTGAAGAAAATACTGACTCTCTGGCCCATTCATTCCTTCTCATTTTGTTTCCCAAACACCCAGAGGTGAGCAGCTCAGTCTGTGTCCTGTCATTATGCCCTACTCGACCATAGACTCAAATGAAGGAGTGAAATGACTGTGGACAGAGTCCCTGAATCCCGAGCCAACACACATCTTTGCTCTCATAAGCTTTTTTGTCTTCACAGCAGCAGGGCATGACAATAGCAACTCTTGCTCCTCCAGAACACAATATGCACATAGCCACTTACCTTCACGATGTAGTTTTCTCTGAATAATATTGCATGCACAGCTTCATCAATGTCTTCTCTAGCTAAAACCTTAAAACAAAATTGGATGATAGGTCAAAAATTCTGAATAGACAATCAGAATGAAAAATCCTAGGGCACTATTCCAGTATCGCTAGTGTAAATATAATGCTTGTGTCTCACAGCATAGTCTTAACTCTTTATGATGGGAAACTGCAAATACTGTTCTCCATGAACCCATAACCTAGTTTTAAGAAGTAGCAACTCAGTCTCATTTCACATCACCCCTACTCCGTTTTTCATCATCCACCTAGACTCTTTTGAAACATATCCCTGACATTACACCATGAAATCATATTTTGTGACAGTTTCAAGAAGCTGGGACTGGAGAGCTGCCTCAGCAGCTACAAATACATACTGCTCTTGCAGAGGACGAGGTCTGATTTGGCTGCACCTATCTATGTCCAGCAGTTCAGGTCACAGCTGCCTGTAACTCTAACTCCAGAGGATCCAATGCCTCTGGCCTCTTTGAGCACCTGTACTAAAGTACACATGCCCACATAAGGGACACAGTTAAAAATAAAAAATAAAGTTCCAAGAATCTTACCAATAATTTTTATATAAAATGAACTCCCTTTTCATATAACCATATTTTAGGAGCCCCCTGAAGCTTTTTGTCTTCTGCTAGCTCCCCTCATACATCAAAACCTCAAGGATTGGGGGTGTGGTTCAGTAGGTAGAGTACTTGCCTGGCAGACATGAAGCCCTCTAAATTCTCAGTTCAAGCCCCACATGGCAGGAAGTAGGTGAGGTGGTACCTAAAGGCCACCCTGGGTTGCACGAGACCCATCTCAAAAAACAAGCAGCAAAGCTCAGAAAGTTCAATTTAATACAATAGGACTCAAGAAGCATAAAACTCAATTTAGTGAAACGGGCCCAGAGTCCCGGAGCTGGAGCAGAAACTCTAACCCCTCACTCTTGTGCCTTTTTAGCTGCATGGGTGTGAACAGATCACCAGCTTTTATTCCTAAATGACTAAGGCCATGTAAAGCCTGTGTCTGCAAGAGACACTCTATTACCAAAGGAGTGGCCTCTAATGAAAACTCTTATGGTTTCTTAGAACTTGTTACTCACTCAGGCCCTTCGTTCTGTTCTACCACACTGGACCAGCTGAGACCAACTAAATTCTAAACTCAAATGCCATATCTATGAATAAAAGAAGTCTCACAAGAAGAGCTGTATTTTCCACCCACAATTTAATATGCTCACATGAAATCCAAAGTTGTATCTGAATGGCTGACTGGATCTTCTCTAATATGAATTCTAAAATATGCACTATCTTACTTTTAAAGCCTGCTCAATTTATTTCAAGATGCCAACCAAAAAAAAGTATGCACACACAGAAAAAGTTTCCCCTGACACTACACTATAAAAGAATAATCACTATTTATTTAGAGAAATAGAAGCATATATGCTAATAAATATCACTACAAAAATTTTTTTAGCCTTCTTAGTAATGTTTTAAGCAAATTATCAGATGTTATATATACTCTTGGTCAACAAACTTCTTTATTTTAAAAAAATCCAGACAGGTGGGGTGGCACACACCTTTAGTCCTACCACTCTGGAGATGAGCCAGGATCTCTGTATGTTCCAGGCCAGCCTGGTCTACATAACAAATTCCAACAATGATAATGATGATAATAATAGGCTGTCAAGGTAGCTCAGCTGGTAAAGGTGCTTGTCACCGTACCTGACCACATGTGTTCAGTCTAGGGGACCCACATTGTAGAAAGAGAGGGCCCATTCCTGAAAATTGTCCTTTGTCACCTATGTTTGCCTTCTGCATGCACACACATATAAATCAGTGTAAATTAATTTTTTAAAAACATATCTCTATATAGTCTTTGCCATTGATAAGGCATTCTTTGCTTTTTCTTTCAGAAAATATAAAATGTTAGATTCCTAGCAGCTCCTCTGAAATCCACTGTTCACAAACACAAAAATAGTAAACACATTTCACAACTCTTATTGCCACCGTGGCAAAGAGGGCAATATAAGTTCTCAAGAGCTTTCCTTATAATGAAGCAAACCATAGGCTCCTATAAACCTGTAGCTTCATGAACAAATCATCATCAGACACAGAAGGGCAAGCTCTGGCCTGTTGCATTTACCTCCCCAGGTTACCTACCTGGCAGCCAGATGGTGCGCTCCATCCATCCTTCCTTCCTTCAGATAGCAGATTTGAACCCAGGCACTCCCACTCACAGAACCCTTCTGCACATCTAATCTAAGCCAAGAACAATGCTCTAATACTGGAAACATATGCCTGATCAAGGCCAAACTGGTCCTAAACTCAAGGGATTTTGTGTTTCATGGAAGGACAACATCTCAAAAAAAAAAAAAAAAAAAAAAAAGCCTTAAGTCCTCTCACTCAAGTGACCCTTGTAAGTCTTGACAGTGAATCTACAATCTATCACTTGGCTCCGAATAAAATTATCTTGCTTCTTATGAAAAAGGAGAAAGAAAAAAAAAGAAAAAGAAAAAGGAGGAAGAAAGGAAGGAAGGAGGGAGGGGGAAGAGAAAGGGAGGAAGGAACGGAGGAAGAGAGGAAGGGAGGAAGGGAGGAAGGGAGGAAGGAAGGAAGGAGGAAATAGGGAGAAAAAAAGCCATGCTATGTTACCTCCATTAAAGAAACTGACTCCGGCTCTGGCCATTGCTTTAGTTTGTCCACACTGAAATGTTCATCACAGTTCGAAGTTTTTGTGGCAGCCATAAATAACAGAATTCCTGAGCAAGAAAAACTGAGGAACTTAAATGAATCAGTGTCAATGTCACCCAGGAACTTTGAACTTGGTTTAGATGCTCCTCTTTTTTGTGTCCTAGAGACCCAGGTGTGCTTCACTGCGCTTTGCAAATGTAGCTATCAATTCCCTTTCCCATACTGTCCTGGGGAGAGCAGGTATCAACACTAGCAGCCTAGCCCCAGACTGAGGGTGATGGCTCCTCAGCAGGGATGGGTGGCTGCCTCTCAGAAGTAAGCTCCTGAGCTGATGGCACCTTGAGTGGGGAATGGTGGCTACCTCAGGCCTCAGATGGACGTTCCTGCCACAGATGGCTGTTCACCTCAGACCCGCAGGCCTCCCAGGCTGCCTCGGGGCTGGTTGCTACCTTGGGCACACTGCAGCCTGCCTCAGTCAGTTCCGGTGGGTGGTGTCTCTGCCCCAGTCCGAGCGCGAAGCAAGGCCACGCGGTCTGGCAAGCCTGCGACACCAACGTCCCTGAAAAGGAAAAATGGCGTGCTCACAGAAAATTAGAACAGTCTTTAATCCTAGCCTCTCCTCTTGCCTTTTGGAGGAGTTTCTCCTCAGCTTGTGGGTGTGTGGGGATGTCAGAGTCCCTGGTTGAAGACTGTTAGTAGTTTTATATGAAAAATAAAAAATTATAAATACAAATGTAGTGTTTAATTATGATAGTAAATCAGAAACATGTGATGAATATTAAATACTGTGAAAACATGCAATATAACAGTATCTGAAACCTTTCATATTTCATCTTAAGCCTTGCTATGTACCGGGTGTGACCTGGAACTTGGGATCCTCCTGTGTTAGCTTCCAGAGGAAAGGATTACAGGCATGCAGCACAGCATGATTGAGGCTCTTTCTGAGGACTTGTGAAGTGTTTGGAATTGCCATTCCTATACAAGGACAGGGAAAGAAGAGGAGTGGTCTCTACCACCTGGAAAGGCAATTTTTGGAAACGTGTAGGAATTGCTTCCACATTCGGCTGTGGTTGAAAAGTAGGTGTGGCATAGATGAAGACAGACCATGAAGTTTTCATTATTGAAATTGGATGAGGGTCTCTTCTACAATTATCTCTATTTGTATATACTCTTTTGAAATTTCCCACAACATAAACTTTTAAGTTTTTTAATTGAGTTTTCCCCTGGAACCATGTATAGATTAAAGGCAAAATTCTAAGAGCCTAGATAACTACATCCCTGAAATATGGGTTGAGGCAGTACACTTGCTACCTTAAAGCTCAATTTCAATGGTGCCAAGGCAGAAAGAACAGCTTAGTCACAAGCCAGCTGAGACAGGCATTCAGTAAGATGGCTCTCTTTATTGGGCCCTCCATGCATGTTTAACTTCACAGGAAAATACACTTTGGAGGAAATGTATTGTCATTTCTCTTTTTGTTTTGTTTTTTCCAAGACAGGGTTTCTCTGTGTAGTTCTGGCTGTCCTGGAACTCACTCAGTGCTGGAACTAAATAAAGGTGTGTGCCACCATGCCCATTTGTTTGTTCAGGGTTTTTTTGTTTTGTTTTGTTTTGTTTTTCTTTTTTGTATTGTCATTTCTTAATCATCACAGACACTGAACTCTCAATTAAAGGAAGTTTATTACAGAAAACAGGAAAACAGAGTTATTCTTCAGTGTGTTCCTTGGTCCCTCTCAGAAGGATTCCTGCCAGGAGGAAACTCATCTAAAGCAGCCTTCTTTTGTGGGTCCTTGCACAGATCAGTCATCAGGATTTGTGGTTGTCGTAACCTTTAGAAAGTGACAAAAGAGTTGAGTGTTGATGGGGGATGACCTTCTGTATATGTGTTTCTCTTAATGGTTGATGAGTAAAACACTGTTGGCCAATAAGCCAGGAAGATAGTTGGGACTAGGAGACTTCTGGGAAAGGTAGGCAGAGGGAGCCTGCCAGAACAGTCAACATGTAAGGACCAGGAAGAAAGGAGGCACCAGACGTCCTCTGGTGAAAGACCATGTGGAATTACATAGATTTATAGAAATGGATTAATAATTAAGACAGAGATAGCCAATAAGAAGCCCTAGTCATCGACCAACAGTTTAATAACTAATATAGTATCCCTGTGTTTATTTGGGGTTGAGGTGGCTACAGAACCAGCTGTTGGGAAAGAACCTCCATCAACAGAGTGTGCCATAGGGATAAAGGGCTTTTAGGATCAGAAAGTTCCTTGGCTATGGGAATTGATCCCTGAAGCCTCTCTAGCCAGAGTTGATGCCTCTCACAGAATCTACCCTCAGTCCTTTTGACAGTCCCTCTCAGATCATTTCATGACTTCAAATTACATAATATCAGATGACTCAAACATGCATGTCAAACCTAGTATCTCCTCTGACTTCCAAGCTACATCCACCTGCCTACTTCACAGATCCTCTGGGGGTTGAGTTAAAAGATAACTGTTGCTAAATATAGCTGAATTTTACGAACATATACTTGATTTTTAGTCTTGGTATCTTTTAAGGAACAAAAGCTATGTTCTAAATGTGTGAAGCTAAGTCTTACAGGATTTACAAAAGAATCAAGAAGGTATGTGTGTGTGAGAGAGAGAGAGAAAGAGAGAGAGAGAGAATCTTCATTTAATCCTAGTACTCCAGAGGCAGAAGCTATCAGAGATCTGTGAATTTGAGGCCTACCTGGTCTATACAGCAAATTCTAGGCTTGGAAGAGCAACACTGTCTTTATGTCACTTAGTCATGCTAACTACAGAAGGGAAGACTTTGTAATCAGAAGCACTTAGCATCTGCAACTACCTAGGGTGTGGAAAACTACCTTGAACAGAACATGCTCACTGCCTCCTTACTATTCATCTATTTTGTTGTGGTTGTTGTTTTCTTTTTGTGTGTGTGTGTGTGTGTGAGAGAGAGAGAGAGAGAGAGAGAGAGAGAGAGAGAGAGAGAGAGAGAGAGAGAGAGACTTCTGGAGACTGAATTCTGCACATGCTAGGTAAGTACTCTCTACTGGGCTATATCCCTACCCCCAACATGTTTAAATGAATAGCAAGAGGAAAGGCTAACTTACTTGATAAACATACCCTATAAATGTATGTTGTAATGGTAAACAGTATCTTTCATTTAGCTTCAGAAAGCATTATCTTTTTTTCTGTACTTCTTCATCTCTGCAAGTTCCACTCACACTTCTGTAGTCATGAATAGGACCAGCATCCATCCAGGCCCCTCAGGACAAAAACCTCAACAACACAGCTGTTTTGGTTTTTTGCTTGTACTCATTTCTCATATCAAACACTGTATTAACAAGTCCAACTGTCAGCTTGCTCACTCCTCAGGTCCCATGACCACACAGCCATCACTAGACTTCAGGTCATTAGGCTGCAGACCTAGTGCCCTAACCTACCAGCTAGAGTGTGTGGCTTGTGTGTAACTGGCTACAAAGCTGCCATGTTCTTCATTTTATAATGTTATTTTGTCAGGTGTAGCAGTGCACACCTGTAATCCTATCATATGGAACGTGGAGGCAACAGGATAAATAATTCAAGATCACTCTCATCTATACAAGACCAGCTTAGACTACATGAGCTCATGAAACCCTGTCTCTGAGAAACTAGACAACAACCAATTTAAAAATAAAATAAAATACAAAAAAAAAAAAAAAAAAAAAAAAAACAAACCTTCCCCCAAAAGTTACTTAGGTGTGTCTCACTACTCAAAACTTCTGAATGGCTTCTATATGAGTGGTATCTACCTCTTCTCCAATCTCCTCTTGTCAACCTCACCCCTTCCTCACTCAATGAATGTCAATCATTCCTGGATTCTCTTTCCCTAAAATTCTCCATGGTCCATCCTTACCCTCAGCTTCTTTTCTTTCTTCCTTCCTTCCTTCCTTCCTTCCTTCCTTCCTTCCTTTCTTTCTTTCTCCTTTCCTCCCTTTCTTTTTGTTTTTGTTTTTAGAGATAAGGTTTCACTGTGTAGCTCTGGCTGTCCTGGAACTCACTTTGCAGGCCAGGCTGGCCTCTTTCAGAGATCTGTCTGCCTCCCAAGTGCTGGGATTGAAGGCCTACCCTCAGCTTCTGAGGTCACTGTACAATGTCATCTTTTTCAGGAAGCATTTCCTGATTTCTCCATTTAAAATAATGTCCTTATTCATCCCCTTCCTTGCTGCCCTTATCTATTGTCTTCTCCTTATTTCATTACCTCACCTGTTTGTTACATACTTATTTTGTTTTCTATCTTTACCATCAAAATGGTAGCTCCATAAGAGCAGAGATTTACCTATTTACCTATTGCTCACCATATGGCTTCAGCCCCTTAGACACTGCCTGATTCAGAGTAGGTATTTGTTTAAATGTAGGAGATCATGGAAAAACACTAAACAATGGCAAGTAAAGAAGGTAAAACAGTGCTGCCAGGTTTAGTAAACTTTCATGAGTGAGTTTTTAAAAATCCTTTATAGTATGGGACACAGCAATGGGAAAGGAAATTGAAGTGTACCCTCTAGACCTAGATGTGTCCAACTTTGTGCCAGACTAGGTCTGTCAAATGACATCACAATATTGTAGTTACCTTGGGGTGGGAGGTCTCTATGAACACCTCTGTCTCTAGATATTTTACTGCTTACTGCTTTTAGTTTTGGCCCTTTTGAAAGCTAATTCTTAACTGAATTAAAAGAAAAAATTTTGGGGCCTTGCTTAACTACAGGTAAATGGGAGAGAGAAGGCAGAGGTTATAGAAAGGTTACCCAATCAGGAGTCAACTCAGGAGACAGGGAACTACTAGACAGTTTTGACCCACCAATGGGCATGTCCACACTATGTGGCTCTACCAGGCTACAATAACATTCTCTGCACTGCCTCTGAATGACACCTGTCTTAGTTCCTTCTACTCTATTACCCACTAGAGTTCTCAACTGCATCCTGGCTTTTAAAAAGACTACCATATCAAGTCAAGCTTGGACTGGTGTCAGCAAGTGCTGCCCTGTGTATCACAAAATGGGACTAACTGTTTCAGCTCTCATGGCATCCTGGTTAGCACTCACCACATCATGGTTCCCATCCCTTTCTACTTCCTGGCAGAGGTCTGCAGAATGGTGACCTTCAGAATTGATCCCTTTAGAACTTGGGTTCTTTCCCTCCTGGAGACACAGAGCTTCACTGTCCAGAGAGGAGAGCCCTTTGTTTCTGTAGGAAGAACCCAGTGCAATCCTTTTAACATTTAACTCAGATGAAGAGCTTAAAATTTTCACTTAAAATCTATGCTTATGAGATCTGTATGAACACATATTTTTACAAAAACTAAAAAGGAACCACCTTGATATGCCATCAAACAGCTGAGTGATGGTCCTTTGTCCTGAACACCCTCAGCGCTGTGCATTTGTTATCCCTGAGGTCCAAATGGACCTAAAACAAGCCAGATCTAGCAGAATTGGCCCTCCAAATCCTGGTCAGAGTGAATCTGTCTTTGCAGCAGGCTGCTGTTAAGTTGTTCTTATGCCAGACTGTAGCTAAACAAGTCATCCTTCCCATGTCTGCACAGTGTTTGCCAAGACTAGCTGAGCCTCTAAGAACAAGGATGGAACACACATAAATGTATCTTTCTTTCCCAGAGTCAGTTTCCCACGCCTTATACTGTCTAAGCCTATAGTTACCTATGCTGCTTTAATACTAGGTAGCACTCTAAACCCAAGTTTTCATGAGTTATGCTTAAGGCATAAAGTCATACATAGGACGTGGCTGCTATGTAGCCCAGGCTATACCTAAAATTAAGATCTTCCTGCTTCGGCATCCCAAGTACTGGGAATGCAGTTCTTTTGTATGTGTGAAACCTTATTTCTAACTCAGTACTTAATAACTGATTTCCCATATTGCACGCATAGGTCTGTAAACTACTTCCCTGCTGTACCTTTTCACTTCAGTACAATATTTTTCTAACTCTATCTACCAAAACTAGTCTCAATCTAAAACTCTCATAACTTTAGTACAGTTGTAAACCTTTGCCCTCAGCCCCATTTTTGCACTTGCTGTTTCTATACTATTTGTTTGTTCAAGCAATAAAAAAACAAAGAAAACTTCTCTTACCCTGACATGGTGTTGAGGCCTTGGCACTAACTCAACAATCTGAAAGAATGGATCTTAAACAAAAGGAGAACAAAGTCATAAAATAACAGGCTTACTTGTGACTGACCGTCTTTTCTTCCTCCTGGGATTCCAGAAAAGTAGGTACCCTTTTCAGTGGATTCAGATCCAAAGTACTGGCATTAAAATTCGCCTTCACTTTGACCCTTTAACAGGAGAACATGTGTCAGGATGCTGCAAAGCAATGCTCATTTGCATTTAAGCACAAATTAGTGTTAGAAACTGACTGCTATAAATATGGCCCAAAATACGATTACCCAACACTGCTATGCCTTCTCAATGATATTTTGTTTAAAAGTTTCTGAAACCATAATGGAGACTGACATGCTATTCATTGAGAACCAAGATTAGGCCAGCAAAGTTGAAGTCTTCCTTCTATCCCTTGGGAGCACATACTCTAAAAAGAAGCCAGATGTAGTAGAACAGAACTGTATTCTCAGCTGTCGAGAGGCAGAGGCAAGAAGACTGCCACAAGTATGGCAGCCATAGAAGATGAACACATTTGATGACAGCTCTTAAACACCAGGCTGGAGACCAGGCTCAGTGTTAGAGAGCTTGCCCAACAAGCATGAAGCCCTGCGTTCAGCATATTTGCTACAACTTAGAATTTTTCTCTGACTTTCTTTCCGGCCCTCCAAGTCATGAAACTGTATAAATCTTTTCTTTTATCACATCAATCTCTTTATTTTATCTGTCTGCCATCATCCTGAGTCCCTCACACAGCATGATTCCTATTAAAAAACAAACAAAAACAAAAATCTCAGGACTAGCAACATGGCTAAACTGTAAAAGCTGCTTTTAGAAATGACCTGTGTTTGGTTCCCAGCACCCACTGTGACAGCTAGCTCACAATAACCTGTAACTCCAGCACCAGGACACCCAGCACTCTCTTCTGGACTCTGCAGACACCTACACTAGTTCACATACCCACACACAGGCTCGCTCATATACACATAAATTTAAAATGAAAACTTAAGAAAAACAAACAAACAAAAATCTCCTTAAGGGTCTGGAGAGATGGCTCAGCTGTTAAGAGTACTAACTGTTCTTCCAGAGGACCCAGGTTCTATTCCCAGCACCCACATGGATAGTTCACAACTGCCTGAAACTCCAGTTCCAGGAGATCTGACACTTCTGGCTTCTGTGAAATGCACACATGTGGCATACTTTGTTTTTTAAGGTCTACAGAATGCTAAAGGCAACAACTACAATAACCAAACTTAAATCAACTTCTAATAAACCAATTCTCCCAATACTAATGGGTAGCAGAAGAGGTATATTAGTTTATACAGAAAAGTACTCCATCTGCACTATTTTTTCATCTCAAATGTCTGATACACAATCAAAAAATATATAATTAAGGTCAGTTGTGGTGGTACATGCCCTTAAATCCAGCACTTAGGCAGCAGAGGCAGGAGGATCTCTAGAGATGAGTTTGAGACTAACCTGATGCACATGGGGAGTTCTAGGCCAGCTGGGGACACAGTAGGAACCTGTCTCAAAAAAACAAAAACAAAACTGTTCTTCCAGAGGACCCAGGTTCAATGCCTAGTACCCACAGGGTGGCTCACTTTAACTCCAGTCTCAGGGTATTCAATACCCTCTTCTGATCCCTGCAGGCACCATCATATGTAAATAGACATGCAGGCAAACCCTCTTACACACAAAAGTCAGTAAGTCTTTTTTAAATTATAAAGCATGCAAAAATAGGCAAAATAAAATGCCTAGTCAAGACATAAAGCAATCAAGAGAACTAGACTGAACTAAACTCAGAAATGATCCTAATGTTGGATCTATCAGTTGGAAATTTAAAGTGACCATGACTAGTATGGCTTTTGAAAAAATCTGGTTGAAAATGTGGACAATGTTCACTAAAAGATGAAGACTTTCAGAAAATGTGAAAATATAAAAAGCCAAATGGGAATTCTAAAAATCATGATATCACAGTTGGTGTGTTTAATGGGTTCATCAATAAGATAGCATACAACAAGGACACGTGAACTTACAGACAGCTCAACAGGAATCATCGAACGAAAATACACAAAGTAAACCCAACCACTATCAAGGTTTACAGAGCTGTGGATGTTATCCATGGTAAAACATACACAGAATCTCAAAAAAGGGAAGACAAACGGTACATGAGTAATATTTGAAGTAATAATGGTCTAAGTTTTTCCCCAAATTAAAGAAATGTATATAACAATAAATATGAAAATGTCAGAGAACTTTAAGAGGAAAATAAGTTTAGATACCTCATAGTCTACCTGATGAATACCAAATTTGGAGATTCTTGATAGTATTCAAGAAAAATATCACATACAGAGGAACATTTTTAAAATCATGTCACTGTTTCAAGAAAGATTTTCAAAGTTCAAAACTTTCATTACATCAATTATTACCTGCTCTTTTTACAAAATTCACTTTCTATATATCTCATGGGCACTTTAAGCCATTCATTTGGAGTCATGCATTGCCTTGAATTAGAAATACTCGGGAACCTGGAATGCAATTGGGCCTTCTCGATCTCTTTAAATTCTTTCATTGTATAGATTTTGCCTGCAAGAAAATTAGTAATCTAAATCAGCATGCTCAAATGCAACGGCACTGCCCTAAGGGAAGAAAATCAGGAAAAAATTGAGTACCAGTCTCACACTGAAGAAGAGTTCTCTTTTCATTATCCTTGTCATATTGTGCTTTTTTCAGAGGATCACGAAATGGTGGCATGATAACCTACAAGAGAAGCACTTTTTTGAAGACTGGTCTGCAGGTTTGAGTATTAACATTCAGTCCATCCTAGGCACACATGTGTGCTCTTTTGCCAGAGAGTCAAGAATATGGGACCTGTGGACTCTATGTAACACATTACAAAGAGATGGGGGCACTCTGACATTTTTCTTATGAGCCAAGAGGAAAGGTTAGCTCTGTGTGTAAGGTGGTGATGCATGAGTGCATGTTAATGTGTGTGTGTGTGTATGCATGTATATATGTGTGTATATGTATATGTATGTGGGTATATATATATGTGCATGCATATGGGTGTATGTGCCTGTGGAGAGCAGAGGTTGATGTCAGCTGACTCCCTCTGTCATTTTCCACCTTATTTTTTTGTGACAGGGCCTCTCTCACTGAACCAGAAGCTCACTCTTTTTGATGAGACTGGCTGGCAGTGAGCTTCAGGGGTCCATCTGTTACCATCTGTCATCTGTCTCTGTGTCACCAGTAATAGGAAACAGGTCTGTGCCATGACATCTGCCTTTCATAGGAGGTTAGGAACCCAAACTAGGGTCCTGTACTTGTGCAAGCAGGTATTATACTAACTAAACTATCTACCCAGTCCAAGGCAAGGTTAGTTTGTATTTCAAAGTTTGGATTCAATCTTCAAAAACTCTCCTGTCATTATCATATATCCCTAAATTTAAATTTTCACTTTTCTTTAATTAATGGAAATATATAACCATATGTTCATCTTCATCTAACACCCCCAATAAACATAATAATTATATAAAACTAACTATATGTATTCAAAATGCAGATTATCTGTGAAACTTTAAATCACAAAATGTCTTTTTCTGGCCAACATTACTAAAATTAAAAATCAACACAAGACCACAGCATTCAGAAACAGTTACAGTCATGGCCTAGATTGCTCCTATAAAGTTCTAGCACACCTGAATAGGTTACCTATGTGTCTTCCTGGTAATAGTTAGACTTGCTTTCTTGGGTAATTTTAACATGAACATGCCTATCCAGATCTGTGAACAGACAGACCTCTACAGTTTCACTTCTACATAAGTTAAGGAGCATTACTTACAGGACAAGCAAGCATTAACTTGCTGTGAAGAGACAATAATAGTGTTATCATCTCATTATTTGTGACTTTTTCAGAAATAAAAACAAATTTATAAACTCTAAAGAGAGGAATAACAATCTAAAGTTTAATTAACAACTATATCACATTTCCCTATCTGTGGTAATATATTATTTATGATTTATTAAACCTTGCCTGAAGATACAGAAAGCAAAGCTAGCCACAAGCCAAGCCATAGAGCCAGGCAATGGTGATATACACACCTTTAATCCCAGAAGCCATACTAGCTAGCCATAGAGTCAGGCAGTAGGGGCACACACCTTTAATCCCCGGACTCAAGAGATGAGCAAATAGATGGATCTCTGTTAGTTCAAGGCTACATGAAATTGATCCAGTCTTAAAGAGAAACAGCACTTGGGATTACACATATTTAATCCCAGGATTTGAGAGGTATAAAAGGAAGAGGCAGCAGTCTGGGATTGCAGTCTGAGGCTTGGTGGAGACAGGATTGCAGTCTGAGGTTTGGTGGGGAGATTTATTCACCAGCCATGATGAGGACAGGACAGCCCTTTCAGTCTGAGGTAGACATAAGAGCTAGTTGCCAGCTGCTTTGATTTTCTGATATTCATCTTGAAGCTTGAACCCCAAAATCTGTCTCTAGGTTTTTATTATTCATGTTACACCTATCTACTGAAATTTTACATTTTGGGATATTTAGTAGTAACTTAAGTTTTTAACTTGTGGATCACAGAACCTAAATGAAAATAATGCAACCTAGTAATTATTTTTTAAAAAATCACTTTAAAATTTCTTATACTCAATTTGGCAGCACATATACTAAAAGTGAAACAATATAGAAAATATTAGCATGTGTAAAGGAGACAAAGTTATGTAGTACTTTACATATCTAGTTGACATTGGGACTCAAATAGCCCAGGCTGGCCTGGAACGAAGTATGTGTCACCATGCCCAGCTCTGCATTCCATATTTTTAAGAAACAAACCATAATGACTTGTTAATAGCTCCAAAGAACTCTTCCTAGTGAGCCAGAAGAACTAGAATTACAGTCAAGCACAAACACACACACACACACACACAACAACAACAACAACAACAACAACTTCCTTAATAAATCAGTATTACTAAAATTACTTGAATGTAACATTTTTTTTTAGACAGTGCTGGATGTGATGCTGCAGATAGAGGCCAATGGTTCTCTGTGAGTTCAAGGCCAGCCTGGTCTACATAGTAAATTCCAGGGCAGCCAGGGCTATACAGAAAAACCCTGTCTTAGGGGAAAAAAAAGAAATTCACTTTCCCTGCAAGTGCCAGGATATAGTGGCCCCTTGGGTCGTCGCTGTGTGCTTGTAGACCTCAGCTTCTTGCATGGTTCAGCTCTTCCATGTTGCACACCAGACAGATGTTTTAAGGGTCTGCCTGCAATCTCCTGGCCTCCTCTGCTCTAAATGCCTCCTTTAGAAGCCTCGTTCACTCATCTCTGTCTGTGCTGGTTGGTTGTCTTGTCAACTTGAGACAAGTAGGGTCATTAGGAAAGAGGGAACCCAGTTGAGAAAAAGCTTCCTTTTCCCTTTGGCTTGCATGTTACTGATGCTCCTGTCTGTGGAGAATGTTGGAACTAAAGCTTGTCTGCCCTCTGAAGTCCTGCTGCTTCTGTCTGAGACACATGGCTCTTGTTCTACCCTTTGCCATGGCTGCTCATGCATGTGCTGTCACTTTAAGGCCACAGAACTGATACCTGTTTCTTTTCACCCTCACCAGTATCGAATGTCCTTAATGCCTTTAGGTTGCATACACGTGTAAAGGAATAGATAAAATGACTTCTGGGTCACTAATCATCTGCAGAGATAAGCACCATAAAATCATTTATAAGAGCAATACTCAGTCTGTGGGAAAATAACAGCATAGCAAGGTATGGTAAATGACTGGAGACTCATTTATGCTCTGCTGCTCACAGATGGGTGACTCTGACAAATAACCTATCTGTGTTGTATTGCCTCATCTTGAATTACCTCACACAGCAGCAGTGGAGATGAATTTCTTTAACAGACAGCAGGGCTAGAGTTATAGCTCAGTGGTAGTTATGTTTACTATATAGAAAGAAAAGCAAATATTTGGTTAACACCAACTAGTTTTAAATAGATTTAAAAAAAAAAGAAGTCCAGAAAGATATATATAAAAAAAAGTCAGTTTTAGATAGTGGGATTTTTAATTTTTTTAAGTCTGAATTTAAAATCAGTTTTCTCATTTACTATAAAAACATCAAACTGGGTGTAGTAGCCCCATCTTTAATCCCAGCACTAGAGAGGCAGAGGCAGGTAGATCTCTGTAAGACCAGCCAAGTCTACACAGTGAGTTTTAGGATAACCAATGCTACATAGAAAGACCCTGTCTCAAAATATAAACAAAACAAAAGAATGTATTACTTCTGTAACAAAATTCAAAGTCTTTGAAAAATGTTTATGTATTTCCTATTATTCAATTATTATACAACATTTTCATATTTTCCGAGATTAACTTAATTTTGGCTTTGGTTATTTATTCCTTTCTAAAATACTAGATAGGAAACCACTCTAGCAACAGTACTGAACCTCAAGGGCCAGCAGCACATATGTTAAGGCTGCTCAGAACAACCAGACACATAATACCATAGTTAAGAAACCTGCCTACCTTCAGAAAATTGGGGTCCTCCTTGCTCATATAAAATGGATCATACTCTTTTGGATCATAATGCTCTATAAATGCAGTTTCCTATAGAAAGGAAATAAAACAGCACATAAGAAAGAGTACACAATTAATTTTGAGGATATCAGAACGCAAAAGTTCGACAATTTGTACCCCTTGCCCTCAGTCATATGGGAAAAACCTGAGGCACTGAGCTACAGTCGCAGCCCTACACAGCTCCAGCCTTATGCTTCAGGACAGCACCAATAATCGATGCCACCCTTCCTATATAAGACACCTCAGTAGGTAAAGGCCCTGACACCAGACTGATGGCTTCAGTGCAATGCTCAGAACTAACACAGTGGAAAAAGAACTCTGACCTCTCTGAGAGCTCATAACACACACACACACACACACACACACACATGCACACACACACACACACACGCACGCACGCACATGCACACATACATGAATACACACAATTTAATGTTTTAGAAGAATATATTGTCAAACCGGGCATTGGTGTTGCAGGCCTTCAATCCCAACACTTGGGAGGCAGAGGCAGGTGAATTTCTGTGAGTTTGAGGCCAACCTAGTCTACAGAGCGAGTTCCAGGACAGGCTCCAAACAATAAAGAAAAGAAAAGAAAAAAGAATATATTGTCTATATCAGAGTATAGATTGTACATAAGTAGAAGAAGAAGAGGCAAGACTGGATGACTAAACAGCAAGTGGACAGAGAACCATGAATTTTGAACACTATAAAAGTATAACATGACCTCTTAGTACCTTCTTATTTACGTATCTCAAAAAATTGTCTAATTCTTGTCGTCTCCTCTTTTTAATCTTCTTATGTGAACAAACTTTTTCTATAATTTTCTTCTGTAGAGGATCTGCCACACACTCAACCCACTTTTTATACAACATCTCTTTTCTTCTTGCATTTAAGAAGTCATGATGATATAAATATTTATCTAGTTCCTAGTAAACAGTGATAGAAAGACAAAAATATTATTCTGAAGCTTTTATGTCCTAACATTTTGTAAAATTTAAAATTTCATAAGTTTAAATTATTCTTAATAACCCACTATTGGGGACTGGAGAGATGGCTCAGTGGTTAATAGCATTGGCTGTTCTTGCAGAGGTCATGAGTCCAGTTCCCAACAACCATACAACATGCAGAACACTCATACCAAGGGGCGGGGTGGAGAATAACCCATCGTTCAATCATTTAGTTCTTTATTTGTCTTCCACCACTTGGCACACACTGCAAAAAAAAAGGATACATGGACAATGGAGGCAACGTGCCACCCTTCCTGATAATCAAAACCACTGAGCCAATGAGATGCCTCAGCAGGTGAAGCAGCTTGTCACTCAAGCCTGGCAACCTGAGTGTGACGCCAGGAACCCATATAAAGGTGAAAAAGAGATCCAATTCCATAAAGTTGTCCTCTGACTTCCATGTGTGTGCCATGGCATGTGTGTTCACACATATCATATATACACACATATATGCAACAATAATAAAAAATAAAATTTTATTTATGCATGGCAGTGGTGGTGCACATCTTTCAGATCTCTGAGTTCATGGCCAGTATGGACTACAGATTGAGTTCCAGGACAGTCAGAACTATACAGAGAAACCCTGTCTCAAAAAACAAACAAACAATATTTATTTAAGTAAGTAAATCAAATATACCACATATACCACACAGTGGGAGAAGAGACAATATAACAACATTGAATACATTATAAGTCATACTAGGAAAATTATTTTCTGTGTATGCGTCTGAGGCGTGCATATATGTGTGGAGGCAGGTACACTCACCTTTACAGTGTTGAAGGAAGGCCCCCAAAGCACAGGAGATTGGCAGTCATTAAAACACTCTCAGAAATGTGTCCTACTTAATCCCAATTGCTAATGAGTATTTTTAAAGCTATATTTTCTATACTATCTAAAACTTTTGAGTTTTACTCAAAGTTGTTAAGTAGCTACTACATTGAAAATGAAAATATTTAAGATGCATTTCACAGCCAATTCTTACCTTCATTACATAATTTTCTCTATATAATATTGACTGAACAGCTGCATCAGTGTCTTCTTTAGCTAAAGCCTAGAAGAACAGAATTAGTCCAAAAGTCAAACCTTGAAAAATCTGTGCTTATTATATCCTTATGTAAAAGGCATATCCCTGAAGCATTCTCTGTAAATCCAATTTTTCTGTATCACTAAGTGCTTTTTCAAAGACTATTTTGATCTTTCTGCTCTTGGTTACAGCTCATTGTAGGGCTAGAAATCATTCATCTTACAGGCATGTTGAGTCCCAGGACAGTTAAATGACTTGCCCAAAGCCATGTCATAGTTAGAGCCATCTTTACCCACACCTGGTAAATTGGTTTTACCTTTTTACCTTTCTGGTTAAGATAGACATGCACAGGCCTCTATTTGACAGACTAATATCTCTGTGCATCTAATGTAAGACTATGAGTGTAGCAATACCTTAGGCAAACCTATACATAGAAAAAAGCCATCAAAGTAAAAACAACACAAGGTCTAAGAAAGGGCTGCATTCAACTTCCTGATCCTATTCTTACTCTTTTATAATAAATTTACCTATTGATTTGTTTTTGAAAATTGCTTTTTAAAAACTAAAATGTAGAGCCTAGCATGGTGATCATGCCTTTATGCATGCCTTTAATCCTAGCACTCAGAATAGCAGAGGCAGGCAGATCCCTGTGAGTTTAAGGCCAGTCTGGTCTACAGAGTGAGTTCCAGGACAGTCAGGCTGCTACACAGAGAAACCCTGTCTCAAATAATAATAATAATAATAATAATAATAATAATAATAATAATAATAATAAATAAGAACTAAAAAGTAAAGACTGTGGATAATATGAACCATGAATTATATTTTTACCACAAACTTACAAATATACATGAAATATCAAAGTATAATCAAATAGATGGCTGGATCTTTATAAAATATAAGAATGGTGTATTGAAATAAAAGACATTTACTCTTAAAGTCTTACATTGTTCTAAGACAGGATCTTAGAATGTAGCCCAGGCTGACCAAGACTTACTATACAGCCCTGGCTGTCCTCAAACTAATGCCAAACTATTCCTTGTCTTAGTCTCCCAAGTGGTGGGATTATAGGCCTGTATATGTTCCTTTAACTAATTTTCTGTGACAATTGCCTGATAGACTGAAACATTTTTTTCTCAAAGGAAATAGGGACATAAATATAATTAAAATAAATACATTTATCATGAATAAAGACCTTATAACTTTCTAATAAATTTATGTATTTTCATGTGGGTTTGATGGGCTTTTTTTGTTTTTGAGACAGGCTTTTCGCTATATAGCCCTGGCTATCCTAAAAGATCACTGTGTAGAACAGGCTGTCCTCAAATTCACAGAGATCTACTTGCCTCTGCCTTCTGAGTACTGAGATTAAAGTTGTGTACCACCAAGCCCAACTGAACTATAATTCAAACTCAAATGTGTTTCTACTATTTTTTAGGGAACAGTGGGTCAGGCTATGTGTAACCAGCCTAGCCTAAAACTTGCTCAAGAGTCTTAGACTTGAGATCCTCCTGCCTCAACCTATCCTTAGCTTCAAAATTCATTTTCTTTCCTCCTTTTGTACAGAGAGTTGCTGATTCTGACAAGACCACTCTCCTCAACTGAGATGAATGGTGAAATTTTCTAGCTCCAGACTAAAATATGAAAAAAGCAATCTGAAGACACTGGAGAGCGTCCCAAAGTGCCCACACAGCCCCATCCTCTTATGCCTGACTAGTTTCAATCAGAGCTAATGGAGGTAAGTCATGTGCATGTGGTCTCACTGGTTGAGGAATTAGAAGGCAAAGTTCATGGCAATTATGGAAGACTTTTAAATGCCATAACAGTGCTGGAGATTAAGCCTTGTGCTAGGCAAGTGCTCTACCACTGAACCATATCCTCAGGCCCAACCATTAAGACATGAGAGATGACAGGAGACATCTCTAAGGGAGCCATAAAAAGGGTGCCACAGATTCCACAAATGAACTGGCACTTGAACTTGAACTTGTGGACAGGGCTCATGCAGCTCAGCCAAAGCTCAAGAAAAGCAGAGTGTCTTCACCTGTTGCCAACTGGTGTACAAAATTTGGAGCCTGAACTCAGCAAAGCTAATTGATAAGTTCAATGCTCTTCATAATGACATAAAAGAATCAAGGACCTCTATAATGCATCATTCATAATGCCTAAAATAGACATGAGGAAAAGGAAAATGTGACCTATACTTAAGAAGAAATACCAGCAGAACTGGGACGTTCCCTATGTTGTAACTGAAATATAAAGCCTTTGGGGGCGTAGCCATGATCCGTATGCTCTAACTCCTGTAGCAGGAAAATAAAGAGTTGAAGGTACTATCTAATGAGGTACTATCTAAAAGAAAAAAAGGTAGGGGGGATGAAATGGCTAAAAATATGCTAACAATGAATGGACAGGCCTAGAAAGAAAATAACTAGTGGGAAAATCCAGTTCTCACATTTTAAAAAGACACAAACTTCAGTGAATTTAACAGAAGACTGATGATAACATAACCAAGAATCAATAAATGTGAAGGTACAGCATTAGAATTAATTCACTTCAGACTCAGGCTGAGTGGCGCATGCCTAGAAACCCAGGAGGCTGGGGCAGGAGGACTAAAGTCTGAGGACAGCATGGACAACACAGAGACTTGTCAGAGAGAGAGAAGTGGTGTGCAGAGAGAGGGAGGAAAGTAACACCTGAAAGAGGAAGGGGGTTGTCAAAAACTTTAAGCCCACAGATACAAGAGGTTCAATAAACCCCAAGTATTGAAGAAACTGGAGCCTTCATGCATCGCTGAGAATACAAAATAGTACAGTTGCTGTGGGAATCTCTTTGCTGGTTTCAAAAACAAAAACACATAAGTTCTCACTGCATAAAAAAAAATTTAAGAATTATCAAAACCATAATGACAAGAGTGGTTTCAGGAAATGAAGAAAATGTGAGGGGGTACTGCAAAAGGACATGATTAGAAAACTGGGAATATTGAATATATTCATTATCCTGATGTGTAATAATGGCTTCAGGAGCAAATACATGTCAAAACTTATCAAATTATGCACTTTTTAAGGGTATGTATTTATTGCATACCAACTATACCTTAATAAAACTGTTTGGAAAAAATTATAACATATCCAAGTTTAAGTAGGTTTTTTACAACAATGACAACAAAAAAGCTCTCCAATGAAGAGCAAAGGGGATAGAGTAGAAAAGAAAAAAGCCGAAACTTAGTACAAGGCACCTCTTGTACAAGGTCCTCTAAGCAAGGACCGCAAAAGCCATACAATTATACCTCCATAAAAGAAAGCGACTGTGGTTCCAGCCATTCTTTCGAGCTCTTGCGCTTATGAAGCGTGCCGGTTACCAGATCATCTTGGCTTCCATTTTTCATTGTGGCCATCAACTAACAGAGCCCCTAGAAAAGCTAAAATGGCATTTATTTTATAATTAAAATTCATAGTAATTTTCTCTTCTGCTTAATAATCAACACTCATGACCTTGGACACCTATGGGATGAGACTTCAGAAACTGGCCCTCCATATTTCCCCTCCAGTTGCCAGGAAGCAGGGCACTTTTAGAACCCTCATGGCTACAAGGTGCTATTCAAGCCATGTAGTCATAGGAATCTAATTCCCTGTAGTTGCTTAGATTTGATAGCCCAAGAATGTTAGAGTAGTGACTTTCAAGCTACTGCGGCACAAATGAGCTCTTGAAGAAGGGAAATTTGGGCAAAATTCTGCCCGTCAAGCTCCAAGAGGCCCAAGGGTCTGCATGTGAGGGGAAGGGGGCTTCTGAGTCTGCGCCCACGGTGGCTCAGGGGCATCAGGCCCGCTCACCAGGGAGTAGGACCCGCCAGACCGCTCCCCCTCTGCTTCGCCCGCCTCTGACGCAGAACGGGTGCGCGGGGCCACCAGGCCAAGCAGGCCTCGACCAGGCCTTTCAGCCCCCTCTGGCAGCGCACAGAGCTTTAGGCTCTCCCGCACCACCGTGCGCCCGCGACCTCAGCCCAAGACCGTGGCTTCAGAACGCCCGAAAGTTCGGGGCTCCATCTCCTGGATGCGGACCCACGCGGCCCCCAGCCACTGGGGAGAAGGGAGCGACTAGAACGCACCAAGGAGTGTCTCCAGGCTCCGCCCATATGAGGGCGGATGCCGGTCTCGTTCTAACAGGCATCTGCCACAGCCAATCAGCTTCGCTCGTGTCCCCAGGCTCCGCCCATGCCCGCCCCTGGCGGAGCGTTGACTCCCCAGTAACCCTGGTACCCGGTATTTAGCTCCCAATTCCCAAGACTTCAGGTTGAGTTAGGTTGCCCGCCGGCCCTCAGTCACTACTCAGAGGGGAGCAGCTCAAGAGGGACGTTCGCCCTGTTAGGTCCCCGTGGTGAAGGAGCGTTCGTGGCGGTTGACTCTATGAGGGTCGTCCAAGATGGCTGCCATGGGCCTCCAAGGTGGTGGTAGAGCTCGGGTCTGTTGACCAGTGTGTCTCCAGCGTTGATGCTGGTCGAGGAGGAGGAATGAAAGCTTTATCTTATTTAACTAGGTTGTTCTCCGTGGTCGGTGGTTTTGAGATTCTTTGGATAGCTGGTTGCCTTTTTTTGTTTCTACTTTATTTTACTTTTATTTATTTATTTGTTCATTTTTGCGGGTCTCCGGATTGAACCGAGGACTTTACGTTTGCCGCTCTACCACTGAGATTCGTCTGCACAGCTTTTTTAAAATCAAAACAAAAAAACAGGGTCTCTCTGGCCTTGAATTTGTGACCTTTCTGCCCCTAGAGTACTGGAGATATTAGCATGGACTTGTGTTTTTAAATCCCAGATAATTCTCTTGTAAATCATTACATGGCTAAAAATGTTGAGGGTCTGGTTCCTTTCTGGGTTTTGGTGAACACTGGATGGTAGACATTTTCACTCTTCCCACGTTCTAAAGGACACACACTGTTACTAACCCTGAAGTATCGGGAGCACTTGTATGCTCACGTGGAGACCAGCTACAGTTCCTGGTTCAGAGCTGAGGAATCAGCATGAGTCACTTGCAGAACTTACTGTTAGATACCCTGCTGGGGACGAAGCACGTGGACAGTGCAGCTCTCATCAAACTCCATGAAAGGAGCCTATGTGTGACATCTCCAGGATTTAGTGTAAGAGGAAAAAAAAAACTTTTAAAAATAACTTTTTAGGTTACCATACAAAGTATTGGTTTTTATCATGTTCTCTTCATATATGTGTTGTGAATGAACTATGTAAAAAATACGAATATGTTTTATTGAGTAATGATAAATTCACAAGGTGCAGTAGTTTCCATGGCATCAACTTGATAGCCTGCTTTCCTTGGTAACCATGACAGAGATGAACACAGGCTGTGTTAGCCCCATCTTTATTACTAAAAACAACTCTTGGCTCACACAGTAATGTGTGTGTATACATACACATGCAACTGTATATGTATATATATATATATATATGTATATATATATACATATATATATATATATATATATACATATATATATTATGGTTCCAGAATGGCAACAAATTGAAGAGACCACAGCAGAGTTCAAGAGTTTTCCTAAGTCCAGAAAAGCGGGAAAGTTGGTAGAACTGTCAGTAGATATTTGATAATAGATATTGATGAATTAATAAAACCAGAGCTTCAAAAAAGAGTCTGGAGAAACTTTGGGTACTTGTTAGGCTCCTTCATATCACAAGTTTGAGAGTAAGGCTGCCGAGTTGAGACCAGCTCCAGGAGCAAAAGGGCAGAGCTAGGTCCAGACTGGTAGGCAGATGGGGGCAGCTCCAGGTCAGTAGGAACCAATGCCATCTCTGTGCTAGATGTGTCTTCTTTATGGAGTCCAGGTGAGAGAATCACACACTCTCCTTGGTCTGCTATACATGATATTTCTTGGACCTTGTTTTTCTGATAGGATTTTAATATGTCCATATGCCTCTACTGTCTCAGTTTACCCTCATAAATTTATAGGCAAGCGCTCTTTCTATTCCCAGGAATAAGTTGTTTTTTAGTCTGTGTTGTGTAGGTGGTGCTAGAAAAACGTGCTATCCCCATGTCCTTCCAGGGAGTGAAAGTGCTCTTTTACAAAATATGGAGTAACAGGCCAAGACAGCCTGATCCAACATATGTCATTATAACTGTTTTCATTCATTCCCTGTCCACAATGCCCTGTTCTATACACTCTTCAGTTGGTTCCCTTCCTTGAGTCCTTCTGTCTTCTTATGTATGTATGCCATTATCTATTTCCCACCTTCTTTAAGAGGTATCCCTCCCCTCTTATAAGCCCATTTCTAATGTTGTCACTTACAGACACACACATACATAAATATATATAAACACATAATTGTAAAGATTTGTTTTTATTTTATGTGTATAGTTGTTTTGTCCACATGTTTGCATACCATGTGCATGGATGCCTACAGAAGCCAAAAGAGGGCTTCAGATCTGTTCAACTAGACTTATAGACAGTTGGTAGCCACTGGGTGGGTGTGCAGTGGGAACTGTTTTCTTGATGATACTTATTCTAACTGGTATATGGTGGAATCTCAAAGCACCCCATATACATAGTGCCTGCAGAATTCAGAAGAGTCATATCCCCTAGAACTGTAAGCCACACCATCTTGGTGCTGGGAATTGAACTTAGGTCCTCTGCTCTTAACCACTGAGCCATCAAAACTATAATTTTAATGTATGTATGTATATATCTATTTATATGTACATTTGAATGCAGTGCTCTTGGAGGCTGGAAGAGTGTTTTAAGTCCTCTGGAGCTGGAGTTGCAGGCAGAGTGAGCCATCTTATGTGGACATTAGGAACTGAAGTTCTGTCCTTCAGACAAGTAGCAGGTGCTCTTAAGTACTGAGCCATCTTTCCAGCCCTTAAAGCAGTTTTAATTTGCATCTCTCTGATGAAGAAATCTTATTTGTTCAAGTAATTGGCCTTTTTGTATGTCTCTCAAGAATAATCTATTCAGTTGATTGATTGATTAATTAGGTGATTTGGGGATTTTGGTGTTTGAGTTTTTATACACTTTGGTATGTCAATCTCTGTGCAGTATGTGATTGGTGGTTGTTTTGTGTTCTTTTATGTTCTGTCAATATGTGTGCAATGTGTGCTTGATGATTGTTTTATTTTTATGTTCTATCACTTTGTTCTAGCAATTGTTTCCTTTGCTGTACATAAACTTTTAATTTCATGATATCTCATTTGCCAATTCCCGAAGTTTGTAACGAGTACGGTTTTTCCGCCTGCCACCGCGCCAGCCCCAAATAATGTACAGAGACTCTGTATTTGATATTATGTTATTGGCCAGGTACTAGTTTCTTATCGGCTAGCTCTGCCTTAGTTATTAACCCATTTGTGTTAATCTATGTATGTCCACGTGTTCTTCTTACAGGGAGCCGGTTGCCGCATACTACTCTCTCCAGACTCTCCATCTTGACTCCTCCTTCCTACTTCCTATTTCCTCCTTGTCTCCTAGTCCCTCCTATCTTCCTTTCCTATTGGCCAACAGTGCTTTATTATTAACCAGTATGAGAAACATATACAGAATGACATCTCCCATCAGAAGTTCTTTCTTGTGCTATTGGAATCCCTTTCAGAAAATCCTTTCCTGGGGATATGACTGTTAAACAAAAAGGCCTTTTCTACTAAAAAGCCATTGGAAGTGCTTTAAGATTCTAGACCACATAGTCTCACAATCAGTAATTCTGTAGTTGGAAGAGCAGCCATAGATAATGCCTAAAAGAATAGGTATGACTATCCTCTAGTGTAACTTTATGAACAATGGGACTTCAATTTCATGTAATGGTGATGTGTCACAAAATGCTGTTCCTTTTTTCCCAGTCATTTTTAAAAAGTGAAAACCATTCCCAGTTTTCAGGCCATTTAAAAAGGTAGCTAACCAAATTAGACTGGCTAGTGACAATGCTTTTCTGACCTGGCCTATTTAACCTCTGTAGGTAATGCCAAGTGATGTTCGAACACTTGTGAATGGATTTGCCAAAAACCCACTGATAACCAGAAGGGAAGGGTTGTATTTCAAGGAAAAGGATTACAAATGTGTCCGGGCAGATGACTATTCTCTTTATGCTAAAAATGTAAGTATTCAAGATTTGAAGACAGTGGATAAAAACCTTAAGAGTGTTGCTTCAGTTTTCTTTATCCCTCCCGATGCTCTCTGCAATACAGTGTAAGGTCATTACTGCTTTCTGTTGTTCAGATTGCAATCTAGTGCCAGGAAGGCATATCTGAAAATACTCAGAAGTACTGGGGATGGACCTCTGGAGTAGAGAACTTGTCTATAACGTGCAAAGCTCTTGATCTCCAGCACTGAAATGAAGTAAAGAATAAAAATCACTTCTTGTCCAAAAGCATTCTCAGCCAGATATCCTGACTGCTGTAAATATCTCCTCTGGAGTCTGTCAGCTGAGTCACCTCTTCCTGATACAGTTCACCCTCCATAGTGCCATGACCGGCTTGACTTGGGTCCTGAAACCCTGACTGGAGCAGCAATGAAATAAAGAAAGACAGACACACATACAGTAAAGCTGTGGGAGGAGAGGGTGTTTAAATACATTCTAAGTTCACACCCCTGTTAGGCACAAGAATGTTGAATCCATCACAGAGGCAAAGAATGGTTATTAGGGGGCTAAGATAGCCCAGAATACATCGTTATTAGGCTCTGGATCCACAACTGTAAGTGCATGGTATGTTTCTTCCCAGGAACTTCTCTTTACAATACACATAATATTAGTGCAAAAAGCTGAAACCTTTCAGAAAACTCTACTAAATGTCTCAGAAGAGTAGAAGATTAAAATACAATTACACTAATACAAAGATGTCAGGAAATAGTTTCTTAAAAATGTGTCTGGGGTAACTGCTGGGCTTGTGGTTGGAACCCAAGGCAGAGCATTGTCTCTTGTTCATCTAGGAGAACACCGGTGTGATTGTTGTGAAGACCCATCAGTATCTCCTGGTGGCCACTTACACTGCAGGCATGTATCCTAGTGTCTGTGTGGAAGCCACAGAGAAGCTGGGTGAGTCTGCTTCCCACTGAGACTCGACACCCTACTTAAAGTAGCTGGGGACAAAGGAGAAATTTGTCGGAGAATCCAGGGGTGGCTCACATAAACACAGAAAGTGATGATCACAGAGGAGCAACGGGAAAATGTGGGTACCACGGATGGGAGCACTGCTGTGAGTCTGTCTTGTTTCTGCTTAATTGCAAAGCAACTGCTTCTTTCCCTGGCTCAGTATCATGGTGAGGCCTCCGTCCTACCCCTTATTTTCTTTGAGGACCCTGACTTGTGTCATATGGTTTATCCCTACTACCACCCCCACATCCGTAAGCTATGCAAGAGAGATGATGGGCAGGGGAACAGAGAGGAAGCAGGCTAAAAAGCAGACAAGTGTTGGGGACCTGCCCTGTAGAGAGGAGCTACTAATAGAAGCCGCCATCTTGGTGTGTACTGCAGCCCCTTCCCTGGTTTACAATTATGGAACAATAAAAATAAGATTTAATTGAGAACTAAAATGAGGGTTGAGCATAACAAATGGTAAGTAGTTTTGCATTTTATTTTACATCTATTTGAGTTTCTAATAAACTCAGAATTGCTTAAAACAGTACTTAGAAATAGTAGGGGCTTCTAGCAAGAAAAACAGCCATTCATTCATTCTTGCAGGAAATAACTGTGGTGCCCAATAATGCACATGCCCTGCACTATCTCAGATCAAAACTGGATAAGTCATGTCTCTGCCTCTCCTGACTCTGTAGATGCCATCCTACCTGGCAGAAATGCATTCCTGTTCTATCTATCACCCTCACATCTGGCTGGTACATTCCTCATCATCACTGATGGTCCAAGTCAGATCCAGTGTCTCTTCCACTGTGGTGTATATTTTATGCACACTGCCATTGTTATTAGCATTAGAGCTCTTTGTTAAGATAGATTATGAATCCAGAAAGTGGCAATGCCATCATAATCATCCTCCCATCTGATATCTAATACAGTACCTGACTCTAAGTAGGAAATTACTGCATGTTTGATAAACAGAGATGTTAATGACTTCCACCTAACAGAATCCAGGATGAATGTGTGAGAAATTAAGTTCCAAAAAGGGAAGGTCAGATTCAGCAGACTAGGAGCTGGAACCAGACAGAGACCTATCATTTGAGCTAATATATCTCATTAAAGTATCCATAAGAAAAGTATAGGAAGACCGGCCACTAGGCTTTCAATAAAACAGGCTGTATCTTATTGGCTCAGAACTGAGGCTAATTCCTTAGAGAAGACCAGAATGTTCCTTAGCTTCAATATAATATTCTCTGACCATTTGTTTATTTATTTATTTGTTCAAGGCCACAAAAGACTCCAAAGAATAATACGGCTGGCACTATGCCAAATAGAACCCACTGTTATAAGAAGGGACCAGCTATGATAGAAGGTGTCTGGGTAGCCTAAGGGAAGGGCCAGACTGCTACCCATTAACTGCCTGTTGTCACTGCCTTAATCTTGCTTCCTTCACCACTCTAGGACTCTCTCTCTCTCTCTCTCTCTCTCTCTCTCTCTCTCTCTCTCTCTTCCTCTCCCTCCCTCTCTCTCCTTTCTGATGTAGGGTTTCACTGTATACCCCAGACTGGGCTCAAACTTGCAATTTTCCTGCTTTAACCCACTAAATTCTGGGATTACAGGCATGTGCTATTAGACCCCAAAATTGTATTTTCTCTATCAAAAAATCATGTGATTATTGTAGAAAATGGGAGAAATAATCGTGATGATTAAGTATTTTTTAATCCTCAGGGTATTTAATCCCAGCACTTAAAATGAGTGGGCAGATCTCTGTGAGTTCAAGGCCAGACTAATCTATATAACTAGTTTCAAGCCAGCCAGAGTTACATTGTGAGACCCTGTTTCGATTTTTTTTTTTTTTTTTATTATGGAGCATTCTATCAGCATGACTAAATAACAGCTTTAAGAAGTAATGGGCAAAATATAATCCTATACTACTTCACACAAGTCAGTCGGGTTTTTGTTTGTTTGTTTTGATGTTTTGTTTTGTTTTGGTTTTTCAAGACAGAGTTTCTCTGTAGCTTTGGAGGCTGTCCTGGAACTAGCTCTGTAGACCAGGCTGGCCTCAAACTCACAGAGATCCGCCTGCTTCTGCCTCCCAAGTATTGGGATTAAAGGTGTGTGCCACCAACTGTGTATTTTTAAAATGACTATATTAACAGATGGTATGCATTGGTAAAATATTAGCATCACTAGATCAGTATGAAATTATTAAAGAACTATAATTATTCCTTAAACTTCCTGTAACTTAACTCCTAGATAGATAACCAAATGTCCTAGTTTCTTCACATGAATGTTGCCTCACTCTTAACTAAACCCACATCTAAGAATCTAGGCTCTGTGTTTTGACATCTACATGGAAAGAAATAGATATTTCATGGTTTGGGTATTTTGTTTATACTCATGAAAATATCATCTAAGACCTTGTTCATAGTTCTATAACAGATAAATAGAAAATTATAATTCATTCTTCTAAATTTGCCTGTCAGTAATTCTTACAATAAATTATTTTTAAAGATTTTACATTTTAATTTGTTTTTGTTTTTTTGAGACAATGTCTTGCTATGTAGTACTGACTGGCCTAGTACTCAACATGCAGATTAAACTGGCCATGAACTTGATGCAATAGTTCTGCTTCCAACACCCAAGTAGTGGAATTACAAGAGTATGCCACCATACCTGTCTACAAATCTATGACACTTAATACAGTCCTGGTCTCCCACCATTTCCTCTTGTCATGGTTGCAGTAAAGCAGTGGTTCTCAACCCCTTTTGGGGCTCAAACAACTTTTCACAAGGGTCACCTAAGACCATCAAAAGACACAGATATTTATAATATGATTCATAACAGCAGCAAATTAAAATTACAGTTATGAAGTAGCAAAGCAACAATTTTATGTTTGGGGGTCATCACAACATGAGAAACTGTATTAAAGGATCACAGCATTAGGAAGTTTAGGATCATTGCAGTAGAGGAAGGCAAACTGAATGATAACCAGCAGTCAGTTTAAGAAAACAAGTAGAATTAGAATTTTTTATTAGTAAAACACAGCCTACACATTTTTCCTTTTTTTTTTTTTTTTTTTTTTTTTTTTTTTTTTTTTTTGAGACAGGGTTTTTCTTTATTGCTTTGAAGCCTGTCCTGGATAAAGAGCTCTGTAGACCAGGCTGGCCTTGAACTCACAGAGATCCATCAGCCTCTGCCTCCCAAGTGCTGGAATTAAAGGTGTGTGCCACCAACACCCGACCTGATTCTTTCTTTTTAATGAAGGACTGGGCAGCAGGTTCTACTGTTCCCTGATGCCCTCTCTCACTCATTTTCCCTTGACAATTATGTGTACCTTCATTGTCTCTTCATGGAGAATTAATCACTCTTCAGAGAAGCACAAATATCCCTGTCACTTTGAAATAGAATTGAGGATTGCATACATCTCTCTTTCCTAGAAGACACAGACCTCCACAAGGACAAGGCCTGTGTTTTAACTATCCCATCATCCTTTAATAGAGTACGGTGCCAGCACATGGTAGCCATCTAACACTGCTTCTGAAAAATGAATGAACTACATTGTAATGGCAGTTCACTACTCTAAAATGATTAATATGCTGTTTCTTTCAGGAGATTATCTAAGAAAAAAAGGAAATTAAGTCATCAGACAACTAGTGAAGACAACTTATTTTGAAAGAAAAATACAGATCCTTCAGAAAAAATATTTGTGGTTGAGAAACAGAGTGGAAGATTAAAGACTGAGCTAAAGGACATTTTTTTTTCTTGTTTCAAGAGGTCATCATCTATAACTGGAAGGACCTGACCAGCTCTTTCCTTTTCTTTAAGCATTGATTACTGACTTGAAACCTGAGTGCATTAATGGTTTTTCACAGGACAAGTCTGTTGGGAGTCTCACCTCCAAGTCCCCACATATCTTGCCAGATATCCCAAGAATATAGACCCTAGCCATATTGAAGTTAGAGGACAGCTGTGGGAGACCTCTTCCACTATGTGGGTAGTGGGAATGGAACTCAGGACATACGGGTTAGTGGCAAATAAGCCCACTGAACCGTCTCAACAGTCCCGCTAACCACTGCATACCTAGGCCATGTCTGTGTTATGCCACCTTTAAAAATTAAAGTAATTCTTCTCTCTGGGGCAGGGAGGGAGTAGGGGGGGGCAACTTGCAAAGTGCTTTCTATCAAAGAAGTAGAGTTCCTGAGTTCAGTGCCCCTTTATTAAAACATAGATGGCATTGCATGTGTGACAGTTGCCTTGTCTTACCATTCATATGGGACCTGTGGGAAAGGCAACCAATGTAAAGGTCACCCAGCAATGGACCACTAATCCAAGAATTGGATGGACACTCACTATCTTCAGGCATCCAATACTGTTCAGCACTATAAAGGCCTTCTCAAAACTCAGGAGATTTCTGACCACCTCTCTTACCACCTCTGAGTCTATATCTTAATAAGGCAGAATGGCTACTTGAATTACCTTTCTGAAAAAGTGTTCTGTTGGCCACCTGCTACATGATAATCAGGACAATAAGAGAAAGAACCTGTTTTTGATAATTTAAGGTTCTCTGCCATAGCCACTACTGGAAAGGAAGCATCTTCTTTTCCCTGACAGCAGCCCAAGGCCAGGCTGGTCAGTGAGCCCTTTGATACACCCTCCAGTACACCCTCCAGTGCACCCTACAGTACACCCTCCAGCACATACCTCAATGCACCCTCTAGTACACCCTGTAGTGCACCCTCCAGTGCATACTTTAATGCACCCTCCAGTGCACCTTCCAGTACACTGTCCAATGCACTCTCCAGTACACCCTCCAGTGTACCCTTCAATACACCATCCAGTGCATACTTCAATGCACCCTCCAGTGCACCTTCCAGTACACCATCCAGTGCATACTTCGTTCAATGCACCCTTCAGTCCATCCGACAGTAGACCCTTCATTACACATTTCAGGCCTTAGCTCTAGGGAGGAAATGGCTTGGATCTTTGGCCAAGAGAAAGCCTGGGAAATACAACTTAACTCTGCTTTGGCCAGATTGGATTGCCATTACCCTTAAGGATAATGATTATTTATGTGAATACACCATTTTCCAGGTCCCTCTACAGTGTACTTTACAAGGACCAAGAGGGACATGTAGCAGGTCTCTAAATATTGTAAGAAACCCCAATCTCACATATGACCCTTCTAACAAAATGTCTAGATGTGAACAAAGTAGTTGGGAATGGGTCTGAGAGTGAGTCATTGTGATGAGATACAGAGGTCCTGACACCCAGAGAGGTAACCTTAGACTTCAGGGGCTGGGGAAATGGTGGAGCTCTTTATTTTTGTCTCCTATATTTGATGTCACAATTGGCAAAGTAGTTGCTTGGTCAAACTTTCTGGTACCAGAGCTATGGCATAAACAGTCCAAGGAGAGCCTGACTTGATTGGGAAATGGACGTATCTGGGTCTTAGATTGCAGCTGAGTCTAAGTCATTCTGTAAAGAGGGAGGCTCTGTCTCCTATAAGGAGAGCTGGAACATCTTCCATGTCCCCTAAGCTGTAGCTTTGCATTTTAAAGGGTGAAAAGGACAAGAGGTTGGGTTGACTCCCTTCAGTCCCACCCCTTGGACTGCTCAGAGTTCAGGCAGTCCTTCCAGTGGCAGCTGAGGGCGGTCCCTTAGCTCTGGAGTGCGGCCATCAGCACCCAAAGGAGCCAAGACTAGTAGTACCTGCTGAACCAGCTTGGTTATCTCCATGGCCTGAAGGGGCCTGTCCATAGGACCTGGGATTTCAACCCAGAAACAGGGTAATCTGTTGCAGCTCTTCAGTATTTCCAGGCCTGGACAGTGATTAAAACCTTGTTTTCCAGGACCAAGAGCCAGTGTAGGGATTGCAGAATCCTGGGCAACAGGATCCAGGATTTGTGCCAGCAGCCACTTCAAGTGGGTGCTGAACAGGGGTGTCCTATTCGAATCCTTCTGAGTCTGCATTTTCTGCCTGCCTGACTGTCTGCCCGCCTGCCCAGTGTTCTTGAACAACATGCTGGCAGTGCACTTTGACCAACCAGGTGGACCAGAAAATCTCTACCTGAAGGAGGTGGCCAAGCCGAGTCCCGGAGAGGGTGAAGTCCTCCTAAAGGTGGCAGCCAGTGCCTTGAACAGGGCCGACTTACTCCAGGTACCCGGGGGTTCCAGCAGTCAGGTCAGGGTGGATTTCAGGGCTCACCCTCTGTCTTCAGTGAACTGATCAGACAGAGAAAGTGGGGATTAGAGTGTTGCCTGCAGCACCCACTAGAACAGCTGTGCCAGGGGTTCTGAGACCCAAAGCCAAATAGGCACTTTATTTTCCTAAGTGAGGGACTGTGCTGCGTGTGTAGCTTATTGGTAGAGCCTTTGCCTACCATATTCCAGGCCCTGGGTGATTCTCCACAAGAAAACAAATACAGGGGTGTTTGCAAAGCAAGAATCCACTATGAGTTCACTCATTATCTCGCCTGGCATCCTGGAAATGGACAGGGAAGTACCATTTGTTGACACGGAGAGGGCATGAGGGGTACACCTGCCCTAATAAACTCCTCAGACAATGTCTATTTATATTTTACAGATAAAGTCAATAAGAAAGACCTAGAACAAGGTCAGACACTGTCCCATTAGATTCCCACCCCGGGTTTCATAAATGACTTATATAAACTGCTGTGCCCACAGAACCCAAATTGGAACAAACTACCTGTTAGTTAAACTTTGGTTAGGATTTACTCTCTCAGGCCTTGAATTTAACCCATTCGAAGCTTGGTTAGCCTGTCACCACCCTCCCCCCCTTTTTTTTAACTCTTTTGCAAATAGGCTGGCTTTCAGGTAGCATAGAAATGGCTAAGGAAGTAAACTGAAGTGAAGTTATAACTAAATAACTTCTCACCAATACCCCTGTAAGTAACCCAAAGAAATTGACTCAGAAAAAAAATTACAGTTCAACCACAAGAGGGAGTACAGCCAGGCATCTTTTATTTATTTGTTGTTTTAACTTTTCACTTTAAAATTGTTTTAATAGTTTTAATGATATTAAAATTAATGATAAAATAAGAAATTAAAAATATAATAATAATAATAACAACAATAAACTGTTTTAACTCTACATAGCCCAGGATGGTCTCAAACTTGAGACCTTCCCAGCTCAGTCTCTGAATGCTGACATTATTTATAAACATACACCATCAAGACAGCCTACAGTTTTAAGAATGAATGATCCCATCACTGTAGAGGCTGAGGAGGGAAGATTGCCTCAACTTTGAGGCAGCCTGGGCTACAAAGAAAGACCTGGAGGGGGAGGGGCATTATACTAACAACTATAAAAATGGAATGAAGTGGGAAGGCCAGGGGCTTAACTCTGTGGTAAAATATTTGCCTAACATACTCAAAGTCCTCAGTACCACACAAATAAACGAAATGAAGCAGGCATAGTTCAGTCAACACCATGCCTACCTGCCTTGAATAGCCCTGGGCTTATCTCCAGCACAGTACTCCTTCACAACAGAGCTGGTCGGAATCAATTAGAAAAGCACTGCTTGTGGAACAAACATGAATACTTGAGTTTGGACTGCCAGAACAATAATTAAAAACCAGGTGTGTGGGCTGGAGAGAGGGCTCAGAGGTTAGGAGAACTGGCTGCTCTTCCAGAGGACTGGGGTTTGATTCCCAGCACCTACATGGCAGCTCACAACTGTCTGTAACTCCAGTTCCAGGGAATCTGGCATCCCCACACAGACATACATGTAGGTAAAACACAAATTCACATAAAATAAAAATCTTCAAACAAACAAATAACAAAAAACAAACACATAGGTATGTGCCTGTCATCCCAGAGACAGACAGGAGAATCCCCAGAGAGAGGAGAATCCCTGGGGCTTGCTTCAGCCAGTCTAGTTGAACAAGTAACTCTAGTTTCAGTGTGTCAAAATATAAGATGGGGAGCAATTGAGGAAGACATTCAATATTGACCTCTGGGTTCCATATGCATGTACACACACATATGTGCATGCATGTACACACACAGAGAGAGAAAGAAATGTACATCAGAATCAACTGGTGAACTTTTAAAATTAACAAGGCAGGGCCAGGCAAGTGTAGTTTAAAATGGTTCTGATGCAAAACTCCAGTCTATGATCTAAAGCCTGAGATCCAGGGTAAGTACAGTCTTTCATTCAATAAATATCAGTAATTGCTGAGAAGTCCATGGTTTTGCTCCTGGTCTCTCTAAATATTTACTTTGCAATCTTGGACAAGCCTTTCCCCATCCTGATCTCTTTCTTTCTTTCTTTGTACAATAAAGGGATTGAGTAAATTAACTAGCTGAGGATTCTACCAGGTATGGCACTCACTGATTTTTGTGACCTGTAGCCTTTTATTTACATAAACCAAGTCATCTCCCTCTCCTTTTTCCTTACTTACAAAACTGGACTTTTTTTGTGGTGGTGGAGCATGCCTTTGATCCCAGCACTTGGGAGGCAGAGTCAGACAAATCTCTGTGAGTTTGAAGCCCGCTTGGTCTACAGAGTAAATTCCAGGACAGTGAGGGCTACACAGAGAAGCCTTGTCTCCAAAAACCAGTAAATAAATACATAAATAAATAACAAGACAAAACAAAAAACCAAAATCGGACTTCATCCTGATTTTTTTTTTTCCTCTGAAAAAAGGAAGAGCTATTGGAGAGGGGCCAGGGATTGTGACACAAAGGTTTCTGATCAT